TACACTACCAACAAGTTGAAAATCGTTATCTACCAAGAAATATCAAAGATTATACAAAAATTAGATAATGATCTTAATGATATCATGAAACTATCTTCCTGTATGAATGCTGAAACATGATTTTATTTAATATTTAGGAATTCCAAACGATATGACCTCTAAAACAGATAAGAAGGACTTTTGAAGCTCCATTGGTATGAATTTCTCAACAATGCTTTGAACGACATAAACAAAACTTCTGTGGTTCTATTATAGATAAAATCAACGCAAGAAAATACCGTTTTTATTACGGTAGTCGACTCCACATTCCTGCCCAGTAATGGATAATTACACTACGAGGTTGATTGAACCTTGTTAAGCGTGATAAGTTTCAAATCTATAACGCAATAGTCACGAGAACAATGACAAAACGATTAGGCCTTAGTCTTAAATTTCGCTTGTGTAGACAGAAAATGAGCCATTATTTAACAAGAGCATTACTAGGTCACAGCATAAAGATTTCCGTATATTTTTATCAACAAAGCAAAAGTAAACTAAGTATAGGTGAGCCGATAATCGGATAAAATCTACTTCAGCACCTTCGGCACGTTACATAACTGAATAATATCATATAGAAAACATTTAAACGATTTGTATTTCCATATGGGACGCAGTGAAAACAAATATATGCAGAAAAAGTTCCATCTATTTAGTAGATCGTGCTGAAAACATTTAGTAAAAACTTTACACTGAGTTATTTTCATTCGGAAAGGGAATAAAACTGGTCAGTACGAGATTCGAAGTAAGATTATAAAACATTGCTTTCTTCTAAACTACGCCTATGGTAATCAGCAGTTACAGTTGGAAGTTAGGTAAATTTTAGATATCCAATAACCAAAGAGGCCAATCACATCATCGAAAAAAAAGATAAGGACAATTCAGCGAAAATTTTCTTTTCAAAGACTTTACTACATACTTAGGCTGTAAAATCGTATTCATAGTTAATTATACTTGTCAAGATAGTAGTCTATAATAAAATAGAATAGCGTGAAATAATAAGAATAATAACCTGAAGAGGTATTATGTATTGTTTATGAAAATTAAATATTGAACGAAAGTTATGTAATAATAATCAGCTGATAAAAGGTGCTAAGATAAGGGCAATTTTCGTCCACCTGATATCTAATAAGAACAGAATAAACGAAAGTTGTAATGATGGTTAGTTTATATTTGCAAAAAAAATAACTGGAAAGATAGTAGATAGCAATCACTTTTGCATACACATGTTTTTCATGTGCCAACTCTTCTTGACTACAAGATTTTGAAGGATACTTCTGATAAAGCGTAGCGGCCAGAACTGACTAGATGATTCAAAATTGAGCTTTTGACTGACTTCGGCAGTCAGTCATTCAGTCAGTTGCAACGTAGAACTTCGTACGTATGTACATAAGTTCATGTTGTCATACCACATCACCACAGAGACGCAAATGTCTAATCAAATCCCATAGTGATAGAGATAGTACAGGTATTAATGGTAATGAAGAAGATTAGGATTTGAAGATATTATTCAAGAACTGACTTCGGCAATGCTTTAAAAAGCCAGGCAGAGAGATGTGCTTCGAAACGGCTTGCTTAGCGAGGCCACTACAGTCCGCTAGACACGAACAAGTAAACTGAAAGTTACTAATTTCTTCCAGTGACATAAATGAAATTCCCTTTGCTGAATTATTTTTATGAGACATCTACCAACCACAAGACAATAAGGGCTTATAATCCCAACAATCGAATCACCATTCCTAAATAGGTTCTTATGCCTAATGTCAAAATTATTCCACTTGATGGTGCCACCTTATGCTAGTAATCCTTTGAAATTACCTACAATCCAGAACTTGAAACTCATATAAATCTCATTTTATGGGTTATGATTTGTACGACTGCATTTATCTGGTTGACACTTCAGATTCCTTAAAAAAACAAACTGTAGAAAAGTAACAACTACTTACTATTTCTTCAGCAACTGAAAGCCTTTGATCAATTTCATTGACTTTGTCTAATAGATATTTTATTTCAATAATATAACTTTCACGAAGTGAACTAACAAGTGTTGAGAATTGAGTATTAGAAAAAACCATATTGATTTCTGATTGATCAAGTGTTTTGTTGATTTCATTCCAATTTAGATCAAAAAAGGAATTAAGATTCTGATTACTCTGTAAGGAAACATTAACAAAACCCTTTTTATGATCAATATACAAGTAAAATATAACCATCTTCAAAGTATGAAGTGAGACTTTTTCAAACCTAATTATAAAATCATATGATAATTTGAATATATCGAGGTTTGAATGCACAGAAATTAAAATGTTCTCAAATACCAACACAACTATTATTTAAAAGTGAAAATGAACTTATATCTCGGAGGTTTTTTTGCATAAAAAAGTAACAATGATTCCATTTATATATCAATTATAATTTTCACGATGAACTGACATCACCGATGATGCAAGAACGTTGATGTCAGTTTGTACTGAAAACCATAACCTGATCTTTAAACAAGCAAGTTGTTTGCACCTTGAAATCATCAATCAATTATTGTTAGACAACCACTAGAAACCTGGAAGCACTAGTCGGGCGAAATTTGTAGATTAATCAGATTTAGGCATTGACACCGCTGGATGCCGACTCAGTGGTCCGGAGGTTGGGTTCTGGCATGCAAGACCGAAGGTCCTGGGTTCTAATCCTGCGAGATGCAGGAGTCGTGGATGTGCAATGTTAGTTATTTTATGACTAATTGTAGTTATGTCATAACTAACCAATCAGATTGGTTAAGCGCTCACCACGTCATCTAGTCTGACTGATGTATAAACTTTCTTTGTTGTGAATGGCCCATCGATTGAAGGATGTTATCATGTTATTTATATTGCTGTGACTCATGTTTTTTATTCATTTTCTAAAGACACGCTATACTGTCCGGTACGTCTTCTCATCCTGCTTGATAATTGTAATTTCCTTATTTATTGTACTAAATTAATCGTTATCCTTTTGTTTAGAAACAGATAAAGTTTAAAAGCAAATTGTCTTCTGTTAACTATAGTCTTACTCTGGATTCTGTCATCGGCAGTATTCGCGTTTACGTTTTTAGAATTACATCTGTAGGACAAATTTAATCCTACATAGTTTCGGACAGTATTTCATCAAAGGTTCATATATTGAATATCTTCAAATGTCTACGGAGGATCAGAAGAGTGATCAGATTCCTGAATTGTCTCCACACTATTCAGAAACTCACAGTGAAGACCATTTTGGAAGAAATAACATCCGAATGGATCCTTTGTTGGAATTAGAACTAGCTAAAGTACGTTTAGCTCATCTAGAAAAGGAAGTTGAGTTAGAACGACTACGGCAAAAAGGAAAAGAACATTGTAACCAAATTCAGGACGAAAAGTTTATGTCGTTCGAATCTGCATCTGTTTCGCGTACAGCTGATAGCGCAGGAAAAGGATGGGTAGGAATGATATCCAGAGCTTTAGACCTACCCAAGCGAGAAATCATGAGGTTCGATGGTAATCCTATGAACTACTGGAGTTTCATACGGAATTTCGAGGATTGTTTTGATGAAAGCGTCGGACCTCGATCTAAGTTAAACTACTTGATTCAATATTGTGATGGTGAAGCTAAAGCTACCATTGTTCATTGTACATTGCTTCAACCAGAAGAAGGTTATCGTAAAGCGTTAGAGCTTCTTGAGGAAGCATTCGGTCAGAAACACGTAGTTGCCCGTGCATTCATCGACAAGATGTTAAACTTCCCTGCTATTAAAGAAACCGACTCAAATAGTTTAAGAGGGCTAGCTCGTGAGATGTATGTCTGTGAGCTTACGCTCACACAAATGAACTACCTGTCGGATCTTAATTCTACGAAAACCATCGAAAGCATGTTTTTAAAACTTCCACCACACCTACAGAGAGAATGGGTTAAAGTAGCATGTCGAATTCTCAAGACGGGTAGAGAGCCTTCATTCAATGACCTCTGTGAATTTGTTAAAGAACAGTCGGACATAGCTAACACTAGATACGGCCTGCTTGTCAACCGCAGCGATAATGTTGACAAAAGAGGTTTTGGTGCTTTAAAGGGGAAAGCTGCCGCAAGTTACAACATAGCGACGGTAGCACATGTAAGCATTAATGACAGCAATACTTCCTTATATAATTCACCTTGTCCAGATTGCTCAAGCAATCACCTCTTGGATCAGTGCCAGAAGTTTAAAAACAAGAATGTTAAAGAAAGGAAAGAGTTCGTCTTTAAGCATAAATTATGTAATAATTGTCTGAAACCAAACCATATAGCAAAGAATTGTCGATCTCCAAGGTCGTGTATTGTTGAGGGATGTGGCTGGAGACATCATACTCTGTTACATGAGAAGCAGGAAGAACGAAGAGATATTATTAGTGATGCCTGCATTAATTCTCAGATTTGTACAGAGGAAGATGTTAAGGGCATACAGAGGCCTGTGGCATTTGCAGTAGTTCCTGTGTGGATAAAAAACGGTGAGAGAATTATGCAGACGTGCGCCTTTCTAGATAGTGGGTCAGACACCTCTCTAATAGTAGAAGATCTAGCTGATAATTTAGGCCTCGAGGGAAAGCCGAGAACTGTGTCTTTAAAGACTATAAATAACGAATCGTCATTGGTATCTAAAGAGGTATATGTAGAGTTGCACGCTATAGACTTCTCATCATCTGTTAAGATCCAGAAGGTATTGACAGTCAGAAAACTACCGGAAGTTCACAGAACTGTACCAACGGCGCGTCAAATGGCATCCTGGTCCTATTTAAAGGACGTAAGTTTCCCGAGAGTAGAAGATGAGGATGTTAAACTGTTGATCGGGTGTAATGTACCGAGAGTACACGAGACGAAGGAGGTGAGAACTGGAAAGACAGATGAGCCGTCTGCTGTGAAGACCTTATTGGGTTGGACGCTGTTCGGTCCTTACGGGGAATTCATTGATAACAACCGTGCACTTAATCACCTCCCGGCTAAGGAGGAACTGGAAGATAAGTTTGAGCAGTTGTACTCAACTGAATCGAAAGACCCGTTTATGTCTATGAAAGATCGTAGAGCATTCAACGCTATATCAAGCACAGTGCAAAGGTTAAATGAACATGATAAAATGCAAATAAACCTGAATGGAACAAACCCTCCTCGCACTAAATCGACAGATCAGGATTTTTCTAGTTCTCCTTCTAATCATTATGTTTCTCACACAGAGGCTTCCGTTGCATCACTCAAAGCATCAAATGAATTAGCTAAGTCACCTGCCGTTCTATCAAGTTTTGCTATAGCTAAGAAAGACATTCCATCTGATTGTGTTCTCGGTTCAAATATTTCATCAAGCGTTGTGAATGCTGATGTGTCGAAAGATGCTTCGGTTAATTTATGGACATCATCATCTACAAGTCATGATTCTGCTTCGTGTCCTTTTACTGCATCGGCTAAAGTTGTTACAGCTTCTCAGACAGACTGTAAGGATTCGAAAAATCTAGAAGATTCTGCTAAGGAAGTAGTTGAAGATAAACGGGAAGAAACGTTAACTTTAGCGGAAGTCGACCTAGTTGCAGGTGAAAGAGAAATGCCAGTTATTCGACAGCATTGCCGAGCTCATAATTCCGATGCTAATAAACAGAGGTGTAATAATCTTGGACCTTTTCATTTCGAGTTAAATGATGTACACAACAACGGTGCTGAAAAGAATAAAGAATCTCTCTGCAGGTCACGGACAGCAGTACGTTTAGTGTATAAATGTAGACTGTTGATTAATACTCTCAGTTGGTTACAAATGCCTGCTGCTCTAGTTGACTCACGAACTTTGAGAATGGTTGCAATTAATGAGGTGGGTAGTTATGTAATGGCTACATGGCGCAACGACTTCCAATGTCTTGCTGAGGTTCTAGCCCATCGTCAGCGACATGGTACAAGAGCAGAGTATCGCATACGTTATATTTGGGATCGCGTTGTAGAATGGACACCCGTCAGCAAGTTACGCAAAGCAACTCAGTACGAAATCGATTATGTCTTAAAATTCTGTAAAGAGCAAGGTACACTATCCACAAATAAAATCCCTAGTAAATTTGATCTGCAGTATTCATGTAGTAGTAGCAATGATTCTGCATCAGGAACATCTCAAGCTAAAAGAATAAGGACAAATGTGTCAGAAAGCAAGTCAATAGACCGCACTTCGGATCCTGAAACACATCGCTATCGGTCACGTCCTACTCATGTAAGTACAAGTGGTTTCTCTGTCTTAGAAGACAAGAAGACTCTTCTTCCAAAATTATTTGATGAAATCATCGAACAGGATGGGATGGTTTGTGATAAGAGTGTTTTCCAGTTTCACGAAGCCTGTCGAAGACGTCGTGAATTGAAAAGAAAAGCTATCGAAGAGAACGACACATGTCCATATAGATTCGACAGTTCTGTATCTGTTTTGAGTCAAACATTCATCATCAGGTCAAACCATCAGAACAGACGTGGTCTTAATTTAAAACATAATTCTATAAGAACCGAAAATTATGCAGCGGAAGCTACAGTAGCATCCTCACCGGTATCATCGAATTCATTTTGCCAGAAAAGTGATAAAATAAAGGGAACCATTACCCTATGCGGACCCAACGAGATGTGTAAACGAACGCTGGGAGTAGAGCGGAATATCCGAGCGGATGAATCATTTGTCAGAGTTCACGTGTTTCCTGGAAACCTGACCAGAAGGAATATTTTGTCGTTTATAGCATTAATCTTTGATCCCGGAGGAGGTATATGGAAACATATTATAAAGTCAACAAGAAGGAATCCACAACATAGAGACTCACTGTTAGTAAACAATACCGGCTTGCTGAGAAATCCTTGGGTGAAAGCTATAGTTAGAGAAGTCAGTTATGGTCCCGATTGCCGAGTCAGAACGATTCAATGGAAGACAGATACCGTAGAGATCGACCGAGATATACGAAACCTATGCATACTAGAGGAAGCTGACTACTTGAACGCCGCGATAACGAGGTCTGGACGTGGTGACCGCTTCGGGGGGAGTGTTAGTTATTTTATGACTAATTGTAGTTATGTCATAACTAACCAATCAGATTGGTTAAGCGCTCACCACGTCATCTAGTCTGACTGATGTATAAACTTTCTTTGTTGTGAATGGCCCATCGATTGAAGGATGTTATCATGTTATTTATATTGCTGTGACTCATGTTTTTTATTCATTTTCTAAAGACACGCTATACTGTCCGGTACGTCTTCTCATCCTGCTTGATAATTGTAATTTCCTTATTTATTGTACTAAATTAATCGTTATCCTTTTGTTTAGAAACAGATAAAGTTTAAAAGCAAATTGTCTTCTGTTAACTATAGTCTTACTCTGGATTCTGTCATCGGCAGTATTCGCGTTTACGTTTTTAGAATTACATCTGTAGGACAAATTTAATCCTACATGCAATGCTGATGAGTCCTATACATGAACGAGACGGCAACCCAGTGCTTCCAGGTTTCTAATTGTGGTCTAATAACGACTGATTGATGATTTCAATGTTCAAAAAACACTAATCTCCATATATCTACTTGAAAAATCGTAAGGAAGTATGTAAATTATAGAGTAGACGTTAAAATATTCTTTACTCGAACTATTCATAGGATTGGTAAGAACAGCTAAAGAAAGTACCACCATTTTATCCTCCGTAGATGACGAGCTGTTTTGATATATATATATATATATATATATATATATGCCGTGACCTTGAAGTGATTTACGTATTCGTCAGTGACTCGATCTTATAGGTAAAAGGACAGATTACAACCGGCATTATACATAAAAACACAATTCAACAAATGTTTGATAAACGCATGAGGTGACCTGTTTAAACATTTTTCAACTATGAAAAATATATTAACAAAATTTTTTGATTCAGATTTTGAAACTGTGTAATGTCAACTATATATACATATTCTCATAAAAAGCTCACGTCACAGTTCTTGGTAATAACTACTTTTAGTCAGCCTTTGAAGAAACGTAAGACGATAACGCTGGAATTTATGCTTCGGATATACAACTGAAGAAAAAAACGCAGCAACTGAACTAGTTGATGACTTTCATCATGGAACATGAGTAGCAGATATTGACCATTAAGAACGGCGTTGCAATGTAATTTTTTTAATAATTACAATATGAATGTATGCCAAAGTAGGATTGATGGCATTATTGCATAAATAGTTTTCAAAATTCTTTCTGTACAAGAAAATTTATGTCATAGAATAAAGTAACTAATACAGTTTATTAGAGAATACGGAAACTAGTCCATCAAATTATAAATATTCAAGGTTTATACTTCTCCAATTTGAATAGCTATTTACCACTTAGGATTTTACAAAGCTGTCAAAAAATCTTATTTTATAAATTTCTTACATTTAAAATACAAGAAATTCATAGAATCATTAAGACAAAAAAAAGTGAAGACGTTTCAGTGAAGAAACTTTTCTTCTAAACGATATTATTTATTTACTTGTGTACTATACAAACCGTACTTATAATTATTTTTAGCATATGATCGGCTATAATAAGAATAGAGGATTATGTTATTAGCAGAGGTACTCAAAGCCAATAAGATCGTGAAGTTACGTAATAGTTAACACGGTAATGTTACAAATGCACGTAAACATGTCGATTGAGATATGGTTGAACTATTACAAGTTTACCTTAGTCGGAAAACGAGAGCGAGGATAGTGGATCTAGCGACACGACATGCTACTCAAATCCGAGTGTCCCAACCCCCGTTAAATAAAAGAGGAAGACTTGATATGGAGTAGAACGTGTATCCTACAAACACGCAGAAAGTACGAGGTCCGAGTCGAAAGGATAATCAGGATCCCGGACTAGGGATCCGCGTCTGGGTCCGGTCATGAAACGTTACAGATATTGAGTATTTATACATTTAGGTCGAATAGAAAACAGTATCGAAGCCTGTGACATTGACAGTTAAGGCGACCAATAGGAAAAAAACATTTGAAGTGACAGTGATAGTCAGGACGACCATAATATTGACCAATAGGAATCGACCAATAAAATGTACATTAACAAAATGATTCTTCGTAGGATATTTGGTGAATATCCTAACAGATAATAAGAATGAAATAATAATAGATGAATGAGATATGAATGGAGAATAAAAATGTGAACAAACACCTATAAAAATAAGATACTGACTCACTGGTCCAGAGCTTAGGCGTTCGCGCGCAAGACCGAAGGTCCTGGGTTCGAATCCTGCGGGGTGCAGGAGTCGTGGATGCGCACTGATGATAAGTCCCATATCAGGACGAAACGGTCGTCCAGTGCTTCCAGGTATCTAATGGTGGTCTAATATTGATCGATTCATGATTTCAAATGTGTAACTTAACAATCTTCACAACCCCGTAATGGAAAAAACGACAAGAAAAACAAATATCCACTTGGAGAAAATAGGTAGATAAAGGAATGGCAAGTATATACATTAAGAGATAACTGCAAAGATGTTTTAGAAATCACTATGAATACAATTGTACAGATCTAGTAAATGATAGCGTTGAAAAGAAAAATTCCTTCACTGAAACGTGTTTACTTTGTTTAATTCCTAATATTATTACTGATAGCTGTGATAGACTTATGTCATGCAAACCAGTCCATTCAGATTCAACTATACAAAGATAAAAGAGAGAAGTGAGTATACGAAATGCTCATCTAATTAAGATCATTAAAAAGAAAAGTCTTCGAGTTATTGATGCAACATTGAAAATATAAAAAAAATTAAACTCACATTATTTGGATTATCACTATTGGCACCAGAGGATTTTGAATCATAAATTTTAACTTCATGGGATAAACTAATAGTTGAGTAAAGAAAAATATTTTAAAATGTACATAACATCAATAGGTAGACAATTAATAGATGAGAATGCATAAATAAACTTGATAAGTTGGTTTAATCAGTGAGAACCAGTAAGTAATCATGAAAGAAAGAACACATTGGAACTTTTTTGGCGGTTTATAGCAATTAGAACTCACAATACTACAGAGGACTAAAACCATTATATTGAGGTTCTGAGATGACCATGAAACTATTTGATTTGTCAATCACTATTCAACGGTTTTTGTGATTAAAACCATTCAGCTTTCAACCAATAGGTCAAGAGGTTCGAACTCCCATACATCAGCTTCAATTCGGATAGTACGATAATAATGTTAGGTTTAAGGTGATGGATTAAGAAGTAAAAAAACTGTAATTCAATAATTAAACGACTATGATGACATTTGCGTATAGTTATACTGATATTTGATATTGAACTATTTAGATAGGTTGTATCAAAACACAATGATCTTACGAAATAGCTATCGATGGATCACAGAGAGTTATCTATTGGTCAGTATTCTGTTCATAATTTTAACGACTTAAACTTCCGCACAACAAATTCAAAACATTTCTAAGTAACTAATATAGTCATGACAAATTGATGAACAATAACATACGTAATATCAAAAAGTAACTCGAATGTACCAAAAATTGATTGTCATAAATTAGCTGTTGTGTATGCCAAAACACAAAACTAACTTTTTTTCAAGTGCTTGAAGAATCGTTAGATACTTTGATAAACTTTCGTGTTTAAGAGTAGATTTTCCAGGTTTTAAAAGAAAACGAACCAGGCAAATGGTCAGTATGGATGTAAACGATATTCCAAACAGTGTTAAAATGCCTGCCGTCAAATAAAGACTAAGATCTGAAATAAGTAAAATGTAGGCAAAGATTCGGTATTAAGTTTGCTCCAACCGTTTAAAAGGAATTGTCTCAACATATCCTACTACAACCGATAATACGAAAAATTTACTTTTACTCATGAAATAGTCTCGTGTGCTTAAGGAATCTTAAGGGGAAGTCTTACACGTCCCTTAACAAATCCTGGAGAAATTTCAACTTCAAATGTGTCACATACTGTGAAACCCATATAATCAACAGCTGACACTTTTCAGTAATGGAAAGAAAATACCGACCACAGAACTGACTAGATTTACAATTCGTTTATCACAGATGTCAGGTTCATTTTAGTGTTAATTGAATTCTGATTACCACCTTGCAATTGACTAGATTGATTAAGATTAAGCAAGTTATGTTGTAGGATCCCGAGATCGGTTGTTCAAATAGTTTATTGACATCCTAAAGGCCGTGAACAAAAGCTCCCCTAGACGTCTCCATGTATTAAATCAACATTCGTACTGTTTGTATATCTACTGAATATGTGACTGCTCTCAATCTGCCAAAAAAATTATTAGAATAAACAAATTACAGAATGTCTAAGCATTTGCATTGTGGTTGAAAGGTGAGCATTTAGATGGAAAACCCTAAATTATTTACTAGTAATGAAGAATAAATATTCTTACTAGTACAAGCAGAATCAATCGTGATCTATAGAAAGAACTTTATATGAAGCACTTTTATGTATGGAAGTACTTAAGAACTGAATTCGAAATAAGAAAAATCCTTAGTACATTTTAACGAATCACTAATCAACTAACCACCATATATGAACTAGTAAAATATACAAAATTTCAATTTAAAAATCTCAAATTTATTTGTTATATTTATAAAATGAAAAGGTTTGGAACATTGGGACATCAAGATATAACCGACATAAATTAATGAAACTTTCTTGGTGTAAAAGGTTGAGGCATGTGTTATGCACGTACAACTGCCGCATGCACTGAAGCGTTTTACTATCTAGCATAAAAGTAGGTTGAAAAAGGGTGAAAAGTCCATGAAGTCAATGGTTAGTGAACTAAATTGTTCGATGAGAAGTAGATTTCTTGGTTAAGATTTATGTTACCTATGGTTAGATTACCAGTGGCACTTAAATTTTCTGACTGTTACGATGATCAGCAGTGCGCATCCACGACCGCTGCACCCCGCAGGGTTCGAACCCAGGACCTTCGGTATTGTGCGCGAACGCCCTTACCGTTAGACCACTGAGCCGGTTTCTAACGATGTTAATGTCTAACTTGATCAAATTCACGGAGTTGCGCAACCTCATACACTGTATACATCCGAACAGGTTTGAACTTCGCTGGTGGTGCAGGAGTCGTGGATGCGCACTGCTGATGAGTCCCATACCAGGACGAAACGGCCATCCAGTGCTTCCAGGTCTTTAATGGTGGTCTAACATTGATCGATTCATGGTTACAAATAAAACTTAACAATCTTCACAACAACCCGGCAATGCAATGTTACAATGATGTAAAATGTGGTAACTTGCACCAGGTTATATGCTGCTTGGCACGATGAGTGAGTTATGAACGAGTTATGCGTACGTAAATCCAAGGAACCTAGCCAAAAATACAATGAGCTACTACAGACTTAAGTGACTTACTTCTTTCAGAAGGACCGAAAGGAATAGTATTCAATACATTTTCGATTACTCCAGGACACGATGAATTCGTATAGTTTAAATTATAAGTTTCCATAAAATTTGGTTCAAAAATCCTAACCAGTTAAAATAAAATTACACAATTTGACTGATTTTTTTACTATTATCATCATTGTATAGATACGTTAAAGTATTAAACACCAAAACGATTGTTGTTCACTGAATAACAATCAAAGTTTTTCAAATAAAAGTTCCAAAAGTCTACAAATCAAATAACTAGGATCAATATTCAGAGTGAATAAACAGATTTGATGATAGCCAAACGAGTTTACATAGAAGTGCTAAAGGCAAATATAATAAGTAATCATAGTTGAATTAATTGGCATGTTTACAACTTTATAGAAACATAAACACCAATAAAGTATGTTCTTATTTCGAAAATGTATCACAAATATTCTTAGATTTATTATAGGCTTCTATATTTGTTCATGTTTCAGTCAATCAATCATATATGGGTTGATCAACAAAAACTGTTTGTAAGAACATATAGTCCATGAAACTAAAAGCAACTTTGTAGAATATAACCATTTTTATATTGAATTAGGTAAATGACAACTAAACTAAACCAAAACACGCCCACTAAGCGAATCAAGCGAAACTAAAATATTCAGTTCCTAAAGAACTCTTAGTTTTAATGAGATTGATAAGTAGTTCACTAAAAGCTCCCAGAAAATTAGAATTCATAACACAGCTTATAGTTGGTACTGATCATACATAAAACTAGATATTATATTTCGCTTAAATTCAAGTCATAAAAACTTTAGCACCACTCGGACTCTTCAGGACTTTTTCAAAGGTTAACTTATGGTATTTAAATTTAACTGGTTCCTCAGTCAGCTGGTCAACCCATAATTGACGTACAACCTGATATATATGGGCATCATAACTTATTAGCATAATGAGATGAAAAGTTTAAGGGGAATTTTACGGATGATAGAGACAGTAACAGTAGTGATAACAGGAAAGATTAGAAATAGAAGATACGAATGAAGAATACATAAATTTGTGAGATAAAAAAAACTTTATAAGGAGATTTATAAACTTATGATAAGATAAGACAGATAGTGAATGCATCCATACCATAGTGAAAGGTTTAGAGCCATGTCACCTAGTCCCCAACAATTGGTTATAATTATCACGCGGACCCCGAACAAATGATCTACACCTACTTAAGTGGTTTAGTTCAACGGTCAGTCCCTTCGTAGGTCGTGGTAGTGAAGATAAGAGAGTTATTAAGACGCGGAGAAACGATTTTATTGTGACCAAACCGATCTTGTGTGCTGTCACGGGTATGAGAGCGGATGTCACTTTCCAGTTGCCCTTACTGTGGAAGAGTAGTTAACAAGGAACCCGAAAAGGAAGTTAGATTAGCGTTGGTCCTAGCGGCTTGGAAGCGTGACCACAGAGCCCAAGGGATAACAGCTCGAGGCCAGTCAAGCACGACCTTTTCATGGGATTTTTTGAGGCACTAGCTCCGCTCTTCAAAAGGCTTTACCACAGGAGACAGAAATCCGTAGGGTAAGGTAAAGTGTGACATTTTTAGGGTCGACTTTTTCTAACCCCTTCCTTCCTTGTGAGAAGGCAGCATCGCTGCAGATGCTGGTTGTCCGAGGGAAACACCTTACTGCCGTCAAACCCCTCTACAGTCAGCAGTACGACTTAGCCCTCAGACCTTGCGTTCCTGCTTTTAGTTTCACCGTTCTCCAATGGACATGCCTGGTATGGTAGGACCTAAAGGAACATACGTTCCAGCCAATATAACTCTGTCGGGTCATCACGATAGGAAAGCTCGACCACCAAGTCAAGGTAGCAGCTACGGTCGAGGCCTTCGTGTACTGATGTCATACCTTGATTTAGTTTCCACAAGTTCTCGTCCAACCTATTCCGACATCAGACATCACCAAGCATCAAGGTAATCGGTGGATGAGCATATATGTCTCAGTCGTCTCAAGCAACAAAGACCCACTGCGCTGTCAACTGATTTACCATTATTACCCAGTACTCCGTTTTTATCCTTAGGATTGCTAATTCGATGGTCCAAGAATATACCAGCAATGCTTCTGAGACACTTATGATTGAATAGTGATAATTTGTGAATATCCTCCATTTTGAGGCTACGAGTAGGACAAAGTGAATTGCTGCACAGTATACTTGCTAAACGGATATCACGCCTACGCTTCAAATGACGGAATTTGGCAAAAGCCGACTAGGTTTCCTGAATTCAGCCCGAGATTGCGTCAGATACTAACCCTTAAGGGGCTATGAGACTGCCATTAAAAGCAAAGTAGTTGATACATAAAACTACTTCACTCGCTTTCATTAGATGACGCAGACCACTCTTGAAGAAACACTTTGGAGACGGAAATGTATCTCGAACATGCCATCATTGCTGCTTAGGGCGACCAGAAGCCTTTAAATGTTTTTCAGCCTCTTCACCAAAATGAATTACATCATACGCGTGTTCTAAGTCAACAGGAGGATCTCCCGGTACGAGATCGATCCCAGACAAATTAGATGATAGGAATTTCGTCTCGAAAAGAATGTCTATGACGAATTTGAAACATAAATAGGAAAAGCAAACAACTTTTACATACATCACTTGAAGTTATCGATTCTGATAACAGTTCACCGTAAGCCCTGATTCAACTAGTACTGTTTGAGTGGAGAACCTGTACGAAATTAATATATTTCTTCGGTACATCTTTCGATGATAGGCACTGCTGTAAAAATTTAACTATGGTTGGGAGCCAGTTAGTTGGTATATGTTTCAGAACATGGTGGAGGGTGCTTCAGCTGAAATGCAGTCATTTGAATTATACGCAGAGACAACAAAATTGCAACGGTATGTATTCCTATTTTCCCGTGTTCACGCTTCTCCAATTAGTCGGACGGTGCACAAGCGAAAAACTATTGGAATCCCATCTCAGGGAGACTGTTTAGTTCTGAATTTAGTGCTTTACCTACACCAATGAGGCCACGTCAAGTGGTATTTGAGCTCCCAGATATACGGCAGATAAATCTCTCCACTTCTTTGTACCGGTTAGATGAAGTCAAGTGATTGACAAAACTTGGATCCTGTGTACATATTTCGGAAACAAAGCATTTATTGAAGCCACAGGATACTAGATTCCTGGTTAAGGGAGCCTACTGACCTATCTGATATAAGGTTCAAACACTAAACGCTTCAATGCTGAGTTTGGGATGCAGTTTTAATAGGCCAGGAACAACTCACGGACGTGAATGGTGTCGATGAACGGGGATAAAATCATAGAAGACTTTATAGTGGTTAGAGAAGGAAATAGTGGCCGATGAGGAAAGGCTTTGATCAAATGCTATTAGACCAGAAAGGGCAGTTGTTATTTTCCAGTTGCTTACAACGTGAAAAGGTATTGCTTTCTGAGAGACCTAAAAGGAGAACTGCATTAGTCTTGGTTGTAGTGACCCAGGATCGTGACCATACAGCTCAGGGGATCATTATTAGGGCAGTTAACACACGATCTTTTTTTGAAACCCTTGATGTGCTAACTCCACACTTTAGAAGGATTTACTACCGAAGATAGAAATCAGTGGGGTAGGATAAGTTGTGCCAATCTTAGGGTTTGATTCATTGAGCGAATCAGAAGTCGTCAAATGAGGCCATTTGACAACCATCAGGAAATGTCCTAAAAGACGAATACATATCACTGGTCAAGAAATGGCTTAAAATCGTTTGCAATTGCGCAGGTGCATCCAGTCTTTGTTTTCTGAAATTCTAATATTCCGAATTCCTCATTACCTCTATCTTTCTCTTCCTAAATTAATCTCACTGAATTATACTTCTTAAATAATATCTTCGAACCCTAATCTTTCCGACTACTACTAACACTTCTACTACCTCTACTACTATGGGATCTGAATCGAGAGTTGCGTCTATGAGCTAATGAGGTATGGCAACGTGAACTGATGTACGTACGTACGAAATTCTATGTTTTAACTGACAGAGTGACTGACTCGGAACCTCCACACCATAAGAGGGTTATGCTTTGTTAATTTCCCCCTTCCGTTGTCAAAAGGCGACACTCCAGCAGATGCTGGTTATGAGTACAACACATTACTGTCATCATACCTCAGTACAGTCGGCAGTATGTCTTAGTCTTAGAACCATGAATTTGCTGCTTGTTTTACTGTTTCCCCAACCAACTTCCCTGTCACAGAAAGATCTAAATAAACAATATTTTCTAGCCGATAGGGCTCGGTCAGATTGTTACGACGCTCAAGCCCTATCGCCACATCTAGGTAGCAGCAACGTTTAAGATGAGTTTCTACCTACTATGTGGATGCATCGTTATACGATACATGCTCCTTTTACCAAAGTCATGAGGAATACGAGCAATATTTGAAAAGGACTATTATTGATGAGAACACTGGGTTTACTAGTTCTATGTGAATAGTATCACATCTTTTCGTACATTTTGAGCCTTTACAAGCAAATGACTGTATTAAAGTACAAGAGATAGTCATAACTACAGGTTTTTGAACTGAAACTTCATAGACACTCATAAGATGTAAATATTCCTGATTTAATGTTTTCATTAAACTACTTGGCGTTTTCCAACTAGTCACTGAATAGGGAACTTACTTGCTTAGAATTAGATACTTAATACCACATATATATTTGCAGACCAGTAAGATGATCTGCACCTGGCACATGAACTAGTGACAGAGAATGAAGTAGTCAAACGTGTTGACCACCTCACTTATCTCGGGAGTTTCATCAGCGCTGATGGCCTGGTGACTGACGAAATTTCAGCACGGATACAGAAAGCTCGAATGGCTTTTACCAACCTTCGTCATTTATGGAGTAGGCGAGATATCTGTTTGCTAACTAAAGGTCGAGTGTACTGTGCAACAATATTCAGATAAAGGAAAAAACCTGAAGATGGAACTACAGGAATCGTGAGTACGATACTTAATAAGACTGAAATTTGAACGACCTTGGAGATTATAATTCCTGAACAAAAGTCAAAAGAATGAGTCTCAAATGATTTTATAATAGTGATAAAAGTCACCGACAATTAGCCATTGAAAACTTTTTTTCGGGAATACTACGTGTATCATTCTAAACAAACTACGTTTGAGAAACAGAACCATTAAAAAGATTGATCACCGAGTTACCTAGGAAGTAAACTTCTTGAAATATTTGCCTTCTGAAACAAATATGCACATCCTGAAAGCTTGAAGTAACTAGTAAGCCAATGAATAGTTTCTTTTACTGTCCAATTACGTGCTGTAAATGTAAAAAAACAAAAAACAAATCTACTCAATAAGTTCGACTGAAAAAATGTAATTTGACAGAATGATTTCTTCTGTAGGTTTTATGTATATCAGCTTTAATTAAAAAAAGTAGAACAAAAAATTTAACACGTTGTTAACCTTTTTCTCCAGCAAATTTTCGCATGTGAAAATGTAAGCGAGATATAAGACGTAATTATTCCTTGTTCTGTTCTTAAGTTATGATTTTTGTTTGAAATCATGTCTTAGTTAGTTATAAACAACGTATAGCAAAGTTACAATGGCATACTAGAAACAATTCAAGAGCAATGTTGATAAGAAAGACTGAAAAATGACAGTGTGGTGCGCGCTACTTATAAGTAGTATATGACGCGAGTGAAAACGTAATGTCTGGCAGCAGAAGATGAGGGAAGATCAAGAAAGGAAGAGTGAGAACACAATGGAATTTGTATGAAACGCATGAATAGTGGAATGTCAGACAATGGATTGATGATGGATTGAAGATTTGCAAATTAACCGTTTACGATATGGTTTTCCTATTTTACTGAGTAACTCTGTAATTCTCGATAAATACAATTTGGTTGCCCTCACATGTGTTCTCCTTCACTACAACAGTATGGTTAGAAAGGAGAGACTAAAAGTATGAATGAATTTCGGTACTCACTATCCAGGCGAAGACAACGAACGGAAGCATTTGTGCTATTTTGACCGATTCTGAGACATAACTAGAAATCTCAAGCCACTGATTGCTGTTATTGCGTAGAAAAATGACCTCATAAGTACGATATAACTAATTAGTACCAATAGCTAAAGATTTGTAGACTATTTTTTTTAACATTACCATACCTAAACACAAAAATGTTTTTTAACGAATTGGTATTACAAGTAATTCATTTCAGAATCCATAGCTGATTTAGAGTTATTAAAAGCAGACCCATTACAATGAGTACACCATCTATTACACTACTGGTAGCAGAGAGAAAACAACAGAATCATTTAACATCACTGTTACTTATTCAAACCTTCAAATAAAGAGATGGAAAATTTTGTGAATCTTTAGTGACGTATGCGTAAACAGTAGATACTATAAAAAGGCAAGTAGTTTAAATTCGTGTCCATTAATCTAAAACAATAAAATCCATTATGATCATTACTTGTCATATATACTCATGGATTCTACAGAATTTAAAATGAGGAGTGGAATTTCCTATGAGTGGTTTGGAATACATCCACTGAATACTTTAAGTAAACAGAACAAGAACACAAACCTTTGTTTCTACACCAGGAGTGTCCAAGTTCACCGGGAACGCTTGCGTGAGGCCCTCTTATCACAGAATTCATAACCTGAGTGTTAAGGTTTCTTAAGGATGACTTCTGTGGTAATAAATTCGGACAAAACTTGACCCCGATTGAATATCCAGGTTCAAATAATGTATTCTGCAAGTGTGTTAATGCGGTATATGATTGATTATGAGATCCTGGAACACTGTACTGAGGTTTACTGTTCACTAAAAAAATTCATAAAACAGATTGCTTTATATGAAACGAAGTCAAAAATTTCGATAATAATGTTTCAACTACCCACACTAAGCTAATCTAGTTCATTAATTTACAGCCCTGAAGAACAATTTTTGAGAGGGCTATAAGTAGTATTCGGGGTTATCTCTTGTAACATTATAAAAGAAAGTTAAGACTTAGACTGCTTATCATCTCTAGTACCATCCATTATTATGGCTCTTATACGGAACTTACTAAAGAAGCATTCCTTATATGGTTACTAGCGAGAAAAGTTATCGCTAAATCAAAGTTTATCTCTGATATGACATGATTCAGGTTACAAGCAATTCTGTCTATCCGCTTTTCGGAATATGGTTAAGCATCACTACTTGTGAAATGCACAGACTTTCTGAGGATTTTCAACTTTAAGCTAACAATAATATCACCACTACCATACAGCAGCCGACATACTTTATAAATACGTTCTCTCAAACAAACTGATTCCGATATTCGGACAGCAGAAAGTTTATCTGCATAAAATTTTCAGGATATCAAGTAACCTAAGTAACACTAACTGGGTTCCGCTTTATTGTTTTATACATAAAAACCATGAATTACTTGAAAGGCATTCCTGAACGCGTACTGACAAACACCAAGTCAACTCCCTATAATAATAGAAGAGAAGTTGCAGACCGAATCTTTTAAGAATGACTTGCTGCTGTCTAACTGCCACTGAATTCAACGTCTCAATTTATTCTTAAACCTGAATACATTCTAGCTAATTTTTCCTTAAATTGCAGACTAAGTGTACATTAAAATATTTAACGTTGTAATGAACGGGCATTTGAATAAATTTACGAACGAGTCAGAAACCATAACATCATTTTTGGGGTAACATGTACAATTTTTCTACGAATAAGCTGTCAGATTATATTGGCGTCAAGTGATTGAAAGGCACTAGGTAAAGAAGACGATAACTTAAGCGAAGAATGATTTAAGATACGAAGGTTACGAACTCCGGTTAGGGAGACCACCGATTTACGGAGTTAGTATCGAAACACGTTTTAAAGCGCAGGCTTTGTGGCTAGGAACCGAGCGTTCAGAAACAAGCAGTCGCAATCTTCTCACAAAAGTTCAAAGTCAACGACAATAGACCAGACTCATTTGAATTTCATTTTCCATTCAGTATTGGGCATTTTGTGAGTACTAAATTGGCTTTAACTTTTTTAGAACTTATTCTTTTTGGGCTGCAAACACTTAGAATGGTAGGCCTTATTATGAATTGACAAGTTTTTATTCTACATGCACACCACACTAATAATTTTACCTCTGTTACTGCTAGCTAGAGATATTTAGACAACAAATAACTACCCTATATTTTCTGGCTTAGGAATTTGATAATAAACTTTCAATCGCCTGCGTCCAGTAGAAAACATTTTCTTATACTAACAAGATGATATCAGGTGTTTTCGTAGTAAAGGAACTATTAGCTGTTGGTCCCTAAGGTGAAGGATCTGGGAGAATTTAGTCTAGAGCAGCACCCAGGGCAACCAACAAGTGTTTAAACTGTTGGAGAAAACTATAGGAATGTAAGAAGTTTGGATTTGCATTTAAAATAATAAACTATGTAAATCCAAAAACGATGAGTTAAACGAGTAAACACGGCTAGAAATAACCAAGATGCAGGGGGTTCTAGAAATAAACCGCGAGAAAAAAAGAACAACGCTAAAGAGAGCTGACTACGTGTCAAATTTTTGCTCCTTTACTAGAGATTATTTGCTTCAATTTGACTTATTTTCATCTACCAAAGGTTCGTTATTTAGCTGCGGATTCAAGAGGCAGATAAATACACATGTGTGGACAAAATCCTTGAATTAATTGAAGTATCACCTTTCGATAAGTTCGAAACACCACCGACGAAAAAGCGAAACCAAAGGAGGAACAGTACTGACAACCAACACATTTAACTCGAAGGCTTTACTCTAACCCAAGTTTTGCTGAAGCAGTCAAACAAAATCAGTGAGAAAAGTTTAAGGTATGAGCATTAGGAATAAAGACTTACGGAAGACGTTTTGAATAGCTCAGAGAGCGAATTCAGACATCGTTCAACTTTTAAAATGTAGATTTTACTCATAACTAATTCTTGGAAAAGAATGAATTTTTAAGTGTTCGATGTTGATGTTAACTTTTTGCTTCTGAAGGATGCTAATACATGAAAACACGCAGTATGAAAACGGTTAGGTATTCATAGACAAGAATTGTGATATGATTTTCCCATCTGTATAGTCAGCTCGTCGTTCTAGAGCGTCTTCCGTAAGCTTGAATATACTCAGGTTTAACAATGCATTGTTCGTAACACCTCTCTAATTAAGTATTTCGAACCCATTCAAAACGGAACTCATAAATAAATGAGATAAAATGTATATTTTCTAAAAGGATGGTATTCCAAAACGCTCTGAAAGACTCAGATCTTCTAGGGCAAAGTTGTTTGATGCTGGCAGTCGGAAATCAACGAAGATTCGTAGTGGTGATTACTTCTTACGAATTGGATCGCTGTAGCGAGGGCATTTTGTTCCTCTTCGCAGTAGGAAAATCGGTAGATGGATATTTTCCATCAAAAGAAGTAGCTTGAACCGGTTAGGTGTTAGCGTGATCTTTCTGCCATTTCTTATCAATCTCACAGTACTTTGGATCGTAAAGGATAATTTTTATAGAGTGCTTCGTATACAGCTTCCAAGAGCCGACTTGTTAATCCGTGGCACACGAAAACATATGTACTTAATCGCAAGACGTGTTAGACACATGAGGTCGAGAAGAATGAGGTTTAAGGTAAAGCGTTTCATTTATAAGCCTTCTCGGGTAGGTGTTTAATTCTACATCGTTAATAGACGAAAAAGTATCCCAGGATTCTTTTGGAGGTTTAAGTGTCATGTCGTGAAGGAGTTAACCTGCTGCGCGTCCAGAGTCCTCTTTCACTGGTAACAAGAGCGATTCGTAAGCTTGACATCTGTCCGGATATCTGGATGATGCATTGTGTTTGAATTATCAAGGGCATACTGACGGCAGAGTTACAGAAAGACTTCATCCTGAATGTAACATGGAAGCATTTTGAAAGAAGAATCTTTCGTCTCGTTCATCAAATGTACTAGTAATGAAAAGGATAACATCAGTACACTTAAGATATACTCAGAGTTTAGAATCAATCTCAAGTCTGCAATACATGAAAATGAAAGTACATAAATAACGTTTCAGAAAGGAAAAAGTGGGTTATTTAATGAATGAAAGAGATTAGAGATGTGTTTGGTAGAAAATCATTATTTGGAGAGGCACATGTCAAACGGGAGGGCTGTTTGTTACAAATAGTGCATAGCACGAGATCAGCAGTGGTGATGCATAACCAGGTAATTTAATAAAAATTTAAAGAGCTACGTATTTTTGTTCTGCACCGAAAATCCATTAATCTTTAAGGCTACGATTCCTCAAAATACTAGAAACTCTCTCGCTAATGTTATCTCAGTTTTAAGCGATTTGACTCCACCGCGATGTTCGATGGGATTGATCATTGTTCGTATGTCACCGGTGCTGTTCGAGAGATAGATATTATCTTCCGCCTCTATTATTTTACTTAGTTTAGGTTAATGTATCGACAGTTTGGCTTCCTTATTATTCATAGGCTTGAAATGATCAGTTCGATAGCAAAGTTCATCCATCTGAACTCTCTTACTTCTCTCCTGGTTATTCAGCCTTTATACAAGCTGCGAATGAAACAGTTAGGTTGTAATAGTTCTAAGTAATGAGAGTGGACTGAATTGACGCTTAGCTTGAGTCAGGTTACTATACCTTGGAATTTTGATAAGGGGAATGTCAACAACTAATGGTTGGAATAAGAGTTTTGGCAGCGTCTTAAAGAGTATTTGCGGTAAGGCAGTTTGCTGGACTTCGAAATGCTCCACATTGTATGGTGCTTTTCATCAAATCTAGAGTATCATCCACTGAAAGTTTTTGAAATTCAAAAGCTTTCCTGAGAATAATTAAGATAATAATAATAATAATTTATTCTCAAATAAGAAACATTTTACAAGAGGCATGCCAATTCACAGATATTAAAAATTAACTTGAAAACTTGTTCGACAAAGTGTATTGATGGACGGGTTCAGCGATCATGCTTTAAATCCTACAGGACGCGAACATTATGTATGATTCATGAGACCTACAAGAAAAGAATGATCCTGAATCCTGTATAGGTGGGGGAGCGGATTATTTGGAAGTGCTCAGTGATCGTTTCATATCTGTCCTAGTATATATCAAGCTGAAGCATTCAACCGGTAAAACGATAGTAAATATTCGGATTTGTAAACTCTACACACTGTGATCTCATTTTTCGAAACATACGAAATTATCAGTGCAATGGAGTGATGTTGAAAATTTAACGAATATTCGAGGATATTGTAGAATCCAAACCGAGGTTTAGACTGTAGAATAACTATCTAGGTAGTTAAGATACGCGCCTTGCCCAGGTGAAACTAAAACAATTGATGTGGGTAAATGAGGGTTCTAATATTCATTATAAATATAGATTTACATCATTACCTAAACAAATCTTACCACTCAGTTATTCCACCAACAATTCTTCAGTTAATCAAATAAACAGCAACAAATAAATGTTATTATATGCTTTCTGGATAGATCAAATTCGTTCGAAAGATAAAATTTGGTTGCCTTATAACAGAGTGTTTCCTATTCTGGAAGAGTGCTTCAATTCACAATCGAAATGCACAATTCCAGTCGATGCAAGCAACTCAATCAAAGGAGGCACAAATCAATATGGCTGTCGCCAAGACCAAGTAACAGCTTAAAAAACATTTCAGAAGGCAATACAGAAACCCAGTGAAGGAAAAAGAAATAGAAATTATAATAAAATACAAATATTATAATCTCAAATGGAATCGAACCGACTAACAAAATGTACAACTGAAGTAATCAATAAGGACAGATTAAAATGCATACATAGAGTGATTTTTACAATTGAGTAATTCGATAATCAAAAGTATCGACGCCACCACATGTAGAAATTGGTTATGAGTCCAAGAAGAAGCATATAAAAATATGTCAAATAATGTCAAACAACTCCGGTTAAGTAAAAGCGCTGATAGACAACTATGAATGATGAGATTTGTTGTCCGTTGTTGCGGTTGTATTATTCACAGCAGTCTGACTAATAAAGATAAAATTTAATAACACTCGTACTTCCGGTATATGGTCTCACAGAATATGAATTTCAACCATACGCTATGATTCGCCGAAAGAAATAAAAATTATGATTAGGAGTAGAGTAAGACGAAGACGATGCCGTAAATACACAGCGTTATCATGAACAAGCAAAACCAATGTAGTCCATTTTTTGACATCCATGGTCTAAGATAGTTTGGTACAAGTCAATGGTTAGGTAGATCACTCTAAAATCCCGAGGCCATTGGAAAAATTGGCGTACAATCGCTACTATGAGTGAGAGGATTTGATATTCTTAATTCAGGATATTTTGACTTGCTGTTTATCATCCTTAAAGGCTATGGAAGCTCATAACTTTAGGGACCATATAGTAACTAAGATGGTGACGGAAAATGAAGGGTGTGATGCTTACCTTGTATGCTGAAGCAAGACAGTAGGGTGTCGTAGTAGTCATAGTCGCTCCCTAGACGGCAACGAGTTTGCTGAGGCTAACTGTGGTAGAATGATCTGAAATTGCTTTATGTACTGAACGGTATTTCGTTAATAAGTATAAGATCTTTCTGGCGTATATGCGGACATATATATTTTGAAAACCACTTAATTCCTACATTCCCTTAGTGATCATCTATGTGATTTCCTTTCCGACATGTAATGCTCTATTCATTACCGTATTATTCAGATATTTTTTATTGTTGTATTGGTTTCATGCAAATAGGAAACTTAAATGAATAGTGATCCTCAATAATTTCCGCAGTTTTCAGTAGCCGTTTAACACTCATTTTTCTTAGAATTTAGATTTCTGGCGGCTGACTTATACAAAGTACGTGTACTTGATAGTCCCTATTCAGTTTGGCTGACTGAATTTTTATCAACAGGTGATAGAATATTTAGTTTCGTAAAGACTTATCGTGTTAAAATATAACTTGTATTTGCCAAATCATTACTATAGTGTAGTTGACTAGTTACTTTTGGATTAGGGTGAGTCATTATATCCAGGAAATTTTGACAGAACATTGTTCTTCGATCAGGTGATCATTTGGTAATATCAACACTCTAATAATCTGATACTGTTTAATTGAAACCAAAAATTATCTTAACTAGTGACTGAATGAATTATTACTCATATATACTGCTTTTATTTCGTAGCTTTGTTACCATTTAAGCACCACACTTTGAAGCTAAGTGGAAAAATTTCTTATGTTGTTGGGGTATAAGTATCGCCCGTTAACTACTTTCGAAACAATTTGGTCGTTATGCATGTGGGCACTTTGGGAAATTTTAAATGCAGCCCCGATATCTATAAGCGGTTTCACTTTTTCCTAGAACATAGAATTCAGAAAATCGAGTCACCGTGAGCTAATGAGAAAAATAAAGAATAAAGCTAGCACTTGATAAGGAATAAATCCAACAGGAAGTAGTCAACAAAAATACCAGAGTGATTGAAATTGTAAATGAATCAATTGCGGCAACTTCAGAACATACACTTAAAAAGGATACTGAGTGTAGTAATATCCATAATCAAGCACAAAGATATCAATTGGTTTATGCTAGCTCGTGAAAAAGATATTGGATATTGGATAATGGCTTGTAAGGGCGATTATTCGACTATTTCAGACCTGAAGGGACGATTTCAAGGTAAAATTGTTATCTCCATAATACTTTAGTGAAGAAGTCATAACAACATTACAAAGCTTCAGGTTAATTAGACTCAAAATTGTTGGATATGGCTAAGCACTCATAAGCAGCTGAAAGGTGTCTAAGTAAATGTATGCTTATTGGTTTCGCTATTCACTCACGAAGCCTCATAAAGTTAAATATGTGAAACCCCTAAAATGATCTTGATTTTAGAAGCTTAATGAACAATTTATTTCATCTATACCGCTAGTATGTTACAGATTACCTTGTGCCTTCAGTTCTGTACTGACGAAGTAAGACGACAGTTCCTTCAGTTTTATCGGTAATAAGAGTAAATATAAATTAAATCTATATCGTCTGACTAGTACGATTATTTCAAATGACGAAACATAAGTTGTATGAATGCGTCACGGATATTCACAGCAGAAAAAGTCTTTTGTTTGTGAAACCTTTCGTACAGAGAATGACCAAAGCCAAGTCAAACCAAAAGCCAGATATCATGAGGAGTGACGGTACACTTTATGGAGGGTTGGGATGTAAATGACTGGGTGAACTGAGCTTTCGAGGAGATGCGTCGCATGACGTAACGCAGATACGTGGCCAACTGCCTTTATCTGAGTGTCTAACAGAGCCAGGGAGGTCAACACAGATTTGAAGACTTTCTGAACTTTTTATGTTGGGGATTTCTTACTGTTGCTAGCACTACGTTCGTAATGCATTCTCAACTTTTAAGATGCCGAAAATATTAGTGGACAAACAAAACATCAAAAAGCAAACATAAAAACAATAGAATCAGTGGTAACTTGGAGTATTTTCGGCTAAACATTATTGTAACTACGTTTTCAGGTTCCAAATTTACTTTAATATTCGGAGCTACTGTAGGCAGTAAGAAACTAATTTGTCGAAGCAAACCAGGAAGAGAAAGTTGGCTCGAAAAGTTTATTCAAAAGTTGGACCCAAAAGAATATCATGACCAATAACTTTTAATCAGGCTTACAATGTGTTCCGGGTGTATACTGAAATGCTTCAAATGCAGTACAATATATAGGCTTAAGGAATATTTTATGCAATAAATAAATATATTTAACAGTAATAAAATTAATCAGCTGATTTTATTTTAACTACAGGAAATTTTTCCTTACCCCGTTTGTTTTTCTCTTTTCCTAAAGTCAGAGCCGTAGGAATGTGGCACTTTTAAAAGTTCTACTAATTTTCGGTAAAAGGTGGTTTGCATTGTATATTAACAGTTTTACTATTTACCTATATTCTCTCGAACAGTTTGTGTCTATGAGCATGATTATTTAAATAAGTAACCAATTCTCACTGATGAGTTTGGATATTGTAGATCTCACTCATTCATGTACGTAATAAATTATCGCTCATCTAACTGACCTTATATAACTGTTGCTAGCGGCTGTTGTATGTTACTAGTATATGGCATTTATTATGTCTAAAGGCGTGCGATATGTTTTAAAGGTTTTTGAATCAGGCTATTATACACCGATCAACTTACCTGACAGATGACATCAACAGACTTCCATGTCTAATCGCTCTCGCGTCTCTCAAATGTTATGTACCTCTTACAATTTTAGCACATTAATACCCTTCAAACTATGTAACCGAATATATTGTTACACCATATACTTTGAGTAACCAACCAGTTTAGTTGAGAGCATATTAGTAAGGAAAGTGTTCCCTTAAGGAATCTTGAGTCATTACTGGTGAATAGTTTAGCCCTGTTTCCTGAATTTGTTTAGGTTATCTCATTAGCTGCACTGTGCAATTTCAAATATCACCGCCTGTACTTATATCTAACCGACCACTGTGTTCGTCTATATCGAAGCTCCCTATATAGAAATCAATTTTTTTAACTCTTATCATTCTGGTTGTGTGAATCTCGCTACCTATCTGAGCTCAAACTGTCATTGAAATCGCTTGGTAAGAGTGTATTATAATCCAATCATCGTTTCTCTCTTAAATAGTAATATGGATCGTTAACGTTCCGTTGCACCGATTGAAAGCTAAGACTGCAGTCAAAGCACTCAATAAATACTGAATTTTTAAGAAATAAATGGCTTGTTACTAATGGTTTCATTTATTATTGTTTTACGGGAGTAAATTAAATGTACCCTAAATTTTGCAAATTTATTGTTAAAAACAGATTGCAAGTAAAGGAATGTTTTATCAAACCTTTGTTAATTTTACCTAGGTCACGGATGATTTTTAATAGATCTTAAATACAGTCGATGTCTGTCGGCCTCTTATCGTTTGAATACAGGCATATAAAGCAAGCTCCATACACCACAGCTAGATGAAATAGGTCGCCAGTCTTTAATATATAACCAGTTTTCTCCAGGACGTAGATACTCTCATCTGCTTGGCTTGTCATTAGTTCATTTTCTTCCTCGGAAGAGAAGATTCGCCTAATTCTCCTGGAGTTTGCGTCACGCGTGTTTGTTGCATTGTCGTAATTAACAATTTTTGCGAACCGTCATCATATTGACCAGCTAATGCTAAACTTAAAGATTATCAAACTGCTTACATAAATTAACTTTATTTAATTCTAGATCTGTGTCAGACAGACAGACAGATACAACGCAGAACTTCGTACGTAAGTACGTCACTTCAGGTTGCCATACTAGGTCAGCACAGAGACGCAAATTTCAGTTCAAATTCAAGAGTGATAGCGATAGTAGAAGTATTAGCGATAATGGAGAAGATTAGGGAGCGAAGATATGATTCGAGAAGTATAATTCAGTGAGATAAGTTTAGAACGAGAAAGATGGAGATGATGAGGAATTCAGAAGGGTAGAATTAGAGAGAACACAAATAGTGGATGCACCTACTCCATTGCAAGCGATTCTGAGCCATGCCGTTCAAGGTCTCTAACCATCGGTGACTTTCGTCTCGCGGACCCCAACCAGGTAGCCTACATCTACCAGCATGACACAATCCACTTGTCAGCGACTTTATGGATTTCTGCCATGTTTTGGTTTGGCCGCCCCAAGAGAATGGTGTATAATAACGAAGTTGTTTAGTAGTATTTTCATTAATGAAATCTCATTAAAGTTTAGATAGTGGTTTTTCATGCGTTCTTACTGATACGATGAACAAATTGTACAACTACCAATTTCAGCTCGCTTTACGTAACTTAGTTTATGGATACTGTTACCTCAGGGGTGTTCAGTATGAATATTCCATCATCCACCTTATTTAAAAATCATATCGGTTTATTGCATATCATTTCATCTTATCTTGACGGAGTTTTATTGTTTCGAATAAAATCTGGTACACAGAGAACTGAGCAAAGATAAAAAAATCAATACGCTTTCAGCGCACTCATAACCTAAATTATTTACGTATTGGAGACGTTTATTCTGTATTCTAACTCAGTTTTCTAGTTGGTAATCTAACCAACTAATTAAAATTTTCTGTTCTCTTCTAAAAAAACACTTTTGCTACTTATAATTTAGAAGTAGATTGAGATTTAACCGTAAAGGATCCTGATATTTTAAGGTTATGTGGAAACAGTCAAGAATACCTTGCTCCTAAACATTCGTTCTAGCGTATAATTTCTGTTCCATGAAATCCAAGATTTGGGTTAAAGTACAAGAACTCTGCTCGTGCATGCATTTTAGCTCTAATTGATATTCAGAGATGATACCCTAAGGTATGTACAGTGCATTACCCCTGATGTATCCATCCATTTTTGTCTCTCTCCTATTCTTGCAAACGTGTTTAGTGATATAACTTTTATCCTTGATTTTAGCTTTCTGACAGTCAGTTATTATGGCAACAGACGAGGACTTATCATATTCAGACGATGCATTTGAAGGGGAAGACAAAGAAGATATGGATATTTTAAACTCAACAGAAACATACAGTGACTACCATCAACAAATACTCTTTTATCGCAATTTCGACTCAGTTTCAGGACGAAGTCTTCAAAGACCTAAGGTAATTAAATGTAGATTTTGATCTCATTCACTCTTTCAGACAAGAAGAAGAAGATGGACTCAGCGAGACATGACAAATGCGTACAACGCAGTCAAGTATCAGGGAATGTCGCTTCGTGGGGCTGCGACAGCGTTTAATGTTCCTGAATCTACTCTTCGGGACAGAGTTCATGGGAGAGTCAGTTTAGAATGCTCTCGACCAGGCCCCCCAACATTTTTTACCTATGAAGAGGAAAAGAAAATGGTGGATCATATTTTGTTCATGAGTAAAATCGGTTACCCATATACTAGAAATCAAGTATGTATATTGATTCATGTCTTAGTCCTTGTTACATGATTCGTAGTATCTCTAATTTACCCGATAAAATTTCGTTTTGTAGTAGGTTATATACTGGGTTAATCTGTTATGGATTAGAAGTTTGAGGGTCTTATGAATAATGCACAGTTTTTGGACTGTTAAACAAATGAATAAAGTGCCAGAATGCAATGATACAACGACTGTTTACGAGTCTGATTTGTTGATGCAAACGTTTGAGCAAACGGAAGTTAAAAACAAGACTGCTAACTAGAAAAATGAATTTTTCTTTTTGATAAGTGACATGCGTATTCACGAATTATTAAACTATGTAAACATGATTAGGTGTCATGAGCGATTGGGTTTTTGTCAGTCAGTCAGTCAATTATGACGTAGGACTTGGTACATATATACATCAATTCAACTTGCCACGCAAAAAAGATGAAATTTACGAGCCAGAGCTCGATAAAATTTAGACCTATATAGTTGGATTAGTTGTTTCTCTACAGAACGCATTGTTTAATAGGCATGCAAACATGCTGTGTAAAGAAACTACTGGACCTTAATTTTTTAGAATACAACCCCTAGTTATCCAGTAATACCTAAAAATGATGCAGAACATAGTATTCGTTTTTATCCGTTCAGTTCGCTACATTCACACCAACACAACGACAGATTTTCCCAATAAATACAAGAGAATCTTATTAGAAATGGTGTTAATGAACTAAATAGACATATTACAGCCTAAAAGTAATTAGATGAAGGGTCGTTAAGAGTTTGCGACTACACATATTTACGATAAACTATTGAAATTCAGAAGTGTATGTCTCTGGATATTTTATTTGACTTAGGGAAGTTAGTAAGATGAAATTCCTCATATTTTGAAGTCCAGATGTGAATTACTTTAACTTCACAATTTTTCTAAATTTATCTGATTTTAAAGTAGTATTTGTTTCGTTATGTAATTATTACCCACTGGTGTGGGACATGGCTTCTTCATGATGATGTCCGATGGCCTTCGAAATTTCGATATCAATTTTTCTGTAATAATACTTGAATTTTATTACAACACTGTAACAAATGTTGAAGGTTTGTTATGATTTTTTCACCGCAAAACCCATTATTTATTTATTGAAGTTCTCCTTCGAATAATTTTTTGCAACATCTCGGCGGTTTCCATATGGTGTACTGGTTACTAACATGTAACTAGCTGATAAGAGTTGTCCGTTTGTAATATTATATCTTAGTGTAAGAGCACTTCTGTTGATTTGGCAAATGTCAGCTTATCTTTTTTCGGGTGGGGTTACAGAATCCACAAAACTCAATGATATGAGGTTCCATCGAAAATACATCAAGGTCGAAACTTATGATCAACCTTTTATCATCTGCATGGGAATGAATTGTTTAGTAACTGCAAGGTCCTTACTGGTTTCCCTTATCTTGATTACTTTAACTGCTTTTTAATACTATGATCAGTATTCCTGATTTTCTGCAATATATTTACGACATTTTAATTTAATCCATTTTGAAAGACACGTTGCACTGAATCCCAGTATTCAGAAACTGCCCTCCCTTATACTCATTTTAATTTGAATTATTAAAGGTAGAACTTTTGTAAAGTTGACTCTCCAATTATTCATATATGTAATATTATTTTCAGTTATAATTACCTTGCTTTTTCTTGTTTCTACATTCAGTCTAATTCTAATTACATTTATTGTTTCTCGATTAAGGTAGTTGAACTTGCTGGAGATATGACTAAAGCAGTTGGGCGAATCGCTCCATTTAAATACCTTAACCCAAGTCAGGCCTGGTTCTATGCTTTTCTTAATCGATGGCCAGACCTAAAAAATTTCTTGTTTGGACCTCGAAGTAATCGAAAATCCAAAGGAGTTTCAGGTGATTCTATACAATCTTATTTTGAACAGCTGGAAAAGGTATGTATAGAACTGTTTAAACTTAATATTACCGTTGTCTTGTTATTTACCGTACAGTGATGTTCAGCACTCAATACATTACATATGGGTGCAATTGTTTGTAAACGGGCACTAACATCGTTAGACCATACTTTAAAATATAACATAAACGATAAAATAAGGATTCTGGTAATCCACATTAAGCTAGATTTAAAATCAAATATATCACGTCTATTGCTATATACTTCTAAGGTTGCTATATACTTCCAAGGTCCATAATTATATCAGTTGTTATATAAATAGGGGGTGTGTAAAATGTAAATATGACTATTATGTGGGCCAACAATTCATTTGTCAATACTATGCAAATTCTTCAACCAATTAACTTGTTACCACATTCTGATGATTTCGTTCATCCTGTTGTTTTAAAGTGATCTGGATACTTGTGGCGACACACATCTGTAGCAAATTCTGCATTGATGATGAATAACTGACATCTTTTAAATATTTTTGCGTTTTCAATCTTCAAACTACTTTCGACTAACTCTGAAAAGTTAATTTTCTACTTTTCTAACAAACTGTAAACAAGTAAATCGTTTGATTAAAAAATTGACTGCTCGTAACACCATCATTGTTTGCACTCTATTATACCCAGTCATCTTTTAAAATGTTAAATTAATCATTTTTGTTAGATATTTCAAATGATTATTGGACGACAATTTTTATTGCAAACATTATTTGAAAAGACCTACTATAAGCTAAACAAGTCTTGATAGTAGTTGTTTCTATGTATTTTTGAACTCAACAGTGAAAATCTTTCAGCAATTCAATAATTCAATAATCGCGCAAAATCCGTAAATCAATCAGAGTTAGACATTAACACTGTTGGATGCCGGCCCAGTAGTCCGATGGTTAGGCGTTCGCGCACAATACCGAAGGTCCCGGGTTCGAATCATGCGATGTGCATTAGTCGTGGATGCACACTGCCACTGATGAGTTCCATACCAGGTTTCTAATGATGATCTAACAATGATTGATTGATGATTTCAAAAATGTGTGAAAACACAAACCTCCAAAACTCTACCCGAAAATGATCTTTTTAACAATTTTATAGGTTTTAAATAAATATGGTATCAAAGATAAAGCAGAACATTTTTGGATTGTTGATGAAGTAAGCATAAGTTGCGAGAATCAACCTCCACGAATTCTTCCTATCAGTATACAACGAGCTCAATCAGTTAGTTATTGGAATCCGACTGTTGCAATGCTTGGAGCTGCTAATGGTATTGGTGAAAAAATTCCTCCTTTCCTTATTTATCGAGGTGATGGCATAACATGTAAGTGTCGTTTTGTTTTGTTTTTTTTTTCAAAAGAAAAATCAGTTGTTGTTTTTTTTGCATTGTATATAGTACAAGTGATTTTCTACTCAATTTACTTTACAACTAACAAAAGTTCATAAGTTCACGTTTTCAACGTAATTATATACTTTACACATACATGTGTTTGTACTCTTTTTGTTTTTTTAGTAGCTAGCTCTATAGAACAAGTTAATTGATGGATTTATGATATTTTCTTTTTGTATTAAGGTATGGTATATCTAAGGTCATCGATTACAACTCAGTTTATATATATATATATATATATATATTCATACATAAAATCGTTTCAAAACCTACAAACTCATAAATTTTTCAACTAAAGATAATATGTCTTACCCGAATCACATCTAATTATTATGTTATTTAAATAAGTGTGTGGCTTCATTTAATGCCGCTGCAACTTATTTATGTTTTCATTCATAATCTATTTGTTTTTATACGTTCATTATTTGCTCATCAAAGTCGACTGAGCATCATATTCATATAAGATATCAATTGTAAATACATCCAGAATGTACATTCAATTCTTAGAACCTTTTTAACATACTCCTAAAAGAATATGCTTTTGCTCAATGGGAATTGAAGCTTAAAAACGGTTATGTGTACTAAATAATGTATTGTACCAACATTATCTCACTAAAAGCTGACTAGGGGAAAAGAACGATCCTTGAATGAAATTAAAATCCTATTAAGGATAACTTTTATCATCCTTCGAATAACTTTTTTGAAGTTTGACAGACATGTTGGGATTTAACGGTTCTGTGTCTTATTTATCAGCGGCTGAGTAGCACGAAGTTGTTTGTCACCAACTTTCAAATTTGGCTTTAGTACAGCTACGTGTTAAACAGTAATATTTAAGAAGCCTTCTCTGGTTTTAACTGATTGTTGTAGATGATTAAGTTCTTCGAAAACTGTTTACCGAGTGTAATTTTAATTCGTTTTAAAAATAATTAGGTCTCAATTTTTTTACATCGAAATTCCTCATTTTTAATGGATGTCGTAAATATATTCATACAAAATATCCGCTTTTGTAAAGCGATTCTCTTTGGCCTCTTACAATAAATATTTTAAAGTAAATTTGTTTCGTTAAAATCATGAACCGATCAACGTTAGATCACCACTGAAAATCTCAAAGTATTGAACGGATATATCGTTCTAGTATGGGACTCGTCAGTAGTGCGCATCCACGACTCTGCAGGCAGGAATCGAACTGGGCTCTGTGATCAAGAGCTGAAGCATTTGCGCGTGCGACAGAAGGCCCTTTATTGGATCGCCACCGGCGGATTCGTGGGTGCACACTGCTAACGAGTCCCACAGTAAAACGAAATGTCTATCCAATACTTCCAGGTTCCCAGTGGGGATCTAACATCGACCGGTTTATGATTCCAACGAAAATCAACAATCTCCAAAATCACATGCTGATGGATTAGTCTCTCAAATAAGCCGGATTTACTGTATTTGAACGTAGTTGGTAGTTTCTCAATATAAAAAGTTTGCGTCACTACGCCAGTTTGAGTCAGATTTGTAATTTGGTGGACTTAGTATACTGATCAATATTTTCGATGTGAACATAAATTCGCATTTTAAAAAGTCACTAATAGATCCATAGATAGTGTCCATTAATTTATGTCTCAGTTAATTTTCTTTCTGTCATTCAATAACTTCAGTTTGTTAATGTCTTATATGCCTGATTATTCCCGTTATTTTCCAACAAATATGTGATTTATTATTTAGGTAGGTAACGGAATTTGTGTATTACTCAAAATTATTACGTGGAACTGTTTGCTTAAGTATTTATTTTTAATTTCTCGGACTGAGTCGTATCATTAATTCACTTTCATCTTTCAGCATCTATGATGGAAGGATCCGTACGAGGGACTAAATTTTCATATTCAGCTTCTGGTTGGGTTAATTCTGATGCTTTTATCCAGTGGTTTCTTAAACATTTCCGTGTATTAGTATCTGTCCGACCGCTTATATTATTCTACGACGGTCATTTACAGTTCGTAAGTGTACGTGTATTAGAACGCGCTCGTGAGGATGGCGTTTTCCTGTTTCCACTTCCTCCTCACCCGGCTTATAATCACTGTGTAGAAAATACATGTTTCTGGGCATTTCAGGTAAATTAATATTGTTTATATTGTTGTTACTGTTTATAATAGTAGTTAGCATTGTTTTATATTGAACATTATCTTGTTACTTAACAAACTTATTAAATGTAAGAACTTGAAATTTTTTAGTACTGTCAGTTAATATCGTTCCAGACAATAAATAGTCATGTCAAGAATATACATTTCTTTCTCATCACTAACATTCCACTAAATTGTGCACGGAAATGAGTGGAATTGTCTTCTCTTTCTTAATTCAGATCATGTAAAGAACTGCGAAATACAGTTGCAGCACTTGAATTATTGGAACTTTGCAACTTTATCAATGGCGTATGTATTTTGCATGAGACTATTTGTCTAATGTTGATCATGACCTATTAACTACAGATTAAAACTTTTTTACCAGACAAACTTATACTAGGATGCAAAAGTTTCTCTGTTTTATTCTGTAGTAATTCCGATAATTTTGTGTACCGAAAAAATATCAGGTATCTGTTAAGTATCATTCAACAATTTCATCTCTCATGCGTTATTCATATATGATACTTTTGTATGAAGGAGTTCTTTATTCATGATTCATTTGACTCAAGTGTTATTTAGATTTTTATTACACTCAGTAATCGAAACACAATTTCATTCTCTGGTCATAGATGTCACTGTAGAAATCATATTTTCTTCGTCTTTGACTTTTCTTGAGATTGATCTACCTCTTGTAAGCTCATCTATATGGAGTATTCAGATGATAGTGTACTGTTTGGTGAAGACAGTCTTCAAAAAACTTTGAAATATCAATGCATGCTTGTTCGTAACACGTTTTTCATCTTCTAGATGTATAATGTTTCTATATCATTGATACCATTATTATTACGACTTCTTTGACGTTCATTGTCCAGTTTCGTCTTGTTATGCTAAACTAGTTTGGTAACTCGGGTTAATTTTCGTCTGTACCATTTTCTATATTGATTATGACTGACTAATTAATTTGGTTGGTTAATATGATACGTGAGTAATGGTTTCCAAGCTAAAGTTTTGGTGTCCTTGAATCTAAAGCCTATGGATCAATTTTAATAATAGCTGTACTAATGAACAATGCCAGGTAACGTTGTAAAGGAAAGTCACTTATCATGCAAGTTTGTATACCGGAGTAATTAAAATTAGTGTCGTTGAGCCTTCGTAATCGAATACTCAAGGCCTCGATCATATTTTATATGCCATTTATGGACAATGAAGTCATACAAGTAGTCATACATATTAATTTTATACCAATATTATTTTCTTCATTCTATATTTAATGAGTAAAATATAGATTTCCAATTACTAGAGACAATTTTTAATTTGTGCTAGCTATATCAAATACATGCTATGTTTGACCTCAACTGTTCAATGCTTGTGGAACATTTACCTTTGAACATAATTTAATAATTATTGAACTTTTAAAAGTATTTCATATTGGTGTTTAAAGTAATTAACTAAAATCATTTAATTATAATTGCAATTAACAAACCAATCAATATAAGGTTGAACAAAGTAGTTTGTCGAGCTGTAGTTGTCTTTCAGTACGGATAGACACTGCTGTTTCTTAATAATCTAACTTCATACTTATATTTAAATAAGATGTTACTGAGAAAATACAATACTGCAACAGTGCTGAGAAGTATTGCTGATTATTTAAGTTTCTCACATATGAGTAATAGATTAGCCTGCATTAACTTTCTATACTTTGAACTTTTAATTGACAAATAAATACATTATCAGACTACCTGCAATAGTTCTTTCTCAGCTTTTATTTCTAATCTTGTAACTAAACAGTAACTACCATGTTAACCGTATTGTATTACATTTATTTCTTAAAAATAGTTTGTTCTTGTTCTTGCACACCTATTTATAAGTAATTTCACAATTCATTTTGGTCGTTTTTATCCTATTATCATCATTATTGTTGTATAGTCGATTATAATTCTTTGTACGACATCAACAGTTAAATCAGAGCACCATTTGTCTTGTAAATAATGGTGTCATGTAAATTGAACATCAAATTGTTACGAATGCACGTGAACACGTCATTTGATATGCTTGAACTATTACGAGTTTGCGTTAGTCGGAAAGCGAGATCGAGGATCCGGCGGCACGACAGGCTACTCTAATCCGATTGACCCAACCCCCCCCCCCATCGGGTAAAAGATGAAGACTTGATGTAAAGTAGAGCCGGACTAGGGATCCGGGTCCGAGTCATAAGACGTTACAGATAATGCATATTTATACAGTTAGGTCAAATAGGAAACAACATTGAAGTACATGACATTGATAGAAGTAATTCTCTTAGGATATTGGATGAATATCCTAACAAAAATAACATGACTTATAATAAGAAGAATTTGTGAATAACTCAATACAACAAATATAAATTACTCAAGTAGACTGTTTATCACTAATGCTGTATGGATGTTCGTTTCAAAACATTTATGTTTTCTTCACATTGGTTTACCTGAATATCTCATCTAGCTGATTGTTTTTTTTTAATGGTAATATTGAAAATGATGACTTGTTGTACTTGAGCAACCTTAAGTAAAATGTTTTTTTCTCAAAAAATTTTTTTATGCATAATCAATCAATGGCGGTGATCAATGCATGCCTCAGTTTTTTCAGATTTTACGGAACTATTCGGTTGGCATTTTGTTTATTGGTTGTATTTTTCATTTTAATATATATTTATTATATATTGTATAAAAATCATCATCATCATTACAGTATCTTCTATTTATGATATGAATCGATGCGGTCTTTTCATGACTTGTAGTTTTAATGAATGTTTTTTTTCATTCATTTAATTATTGTAGGGTTATTTCAAAAAACGTTTGGATCGTTTCTTTGAACAAAATCCTAATCAACCACTTTTACGTAATAATGCTTCACCTATATTAACTCATGCTTATGAAAAAGCTTTACAACCAAATAATATGATTAGTTTATTTGAAAGATTAGGAATTTGTCCATTTAATAATTTGTCTTCATCTATTGGTGCCTATTTGAACATGGTATGTTTTTTGATGTTTATTAATTTTCACAAATTATATTTATTCATTTTAGCGTCAACCATTGGAAATTAAGCTAGCGCTGTTGATGTACAATATTGTGATCACTCAGTCACTTATTTTGTGATTTTGTGAAATAGAAACTTATTACCTGATATGAGATAATATTTTTAGCAGTTTACTTATCCCTAATCGTTGCTTGATAAGTGATAGTTATTAAGGCTGAGAAACAGTAGTATTCATAAAATGCATGCAAAAATGAACCTATGTGATCTAAATGTCGTTTTCCAAGGAACACGTTTTTCTGAGACTTCTTACTTGATTTATTACCACACCCTTGTATTGTGAGCTGATGGTCAAAATCTAGGTTGAAGGTATGCTGTTATGGCAATGAACAACTTTGTTTAAATCTAAGTAAAGTTTAATCGAATCTAAGTGAAATAAAGTTTCATCGAAAACCCAATAAATGTCACTGGAAGATTGGATATGATTTCTTTTGAATTTCATTAAAAGACAAACTATGTTATTACTTTGATTCGACAAACCATAGTGTTTGTTTCTGTTACCTCTAGTTCAAATAATAGAAGCTACTGATTAATTACTACATTAAAACAATTCAGTTTACGGCATTGGATAAATTTGTCCAGTCATAAGCAACGTAGAACCTGGGATCTGACTCCAATTCGTACAGATAATCGAGTATGCAATGAAATAAATCTTCCATTTGATTTCCATTTATCATGTATAGGCGAACTCTGTTTGTGTGATGATGGTAATAAGAAGCCGAATAAGGTTTTTCGTATGAATTTATCTCATATGATCGTTCAAACAGACAGACATGAGAGTATAAAGCGTAAAATCTAAGCGAAGCGGACTAGGAAAGGCAAGTGAGTCAAATCAACACGTGGAGGTATGACTAAATATTTATAATCAGACGAAAGAAGAATAAGCATACAGACACACAAATAAAAGCAACTAAGGATATGAGCGAAAACAATAGACAATATCGAAAAGTATGCGAATAACTCGAGAAGAATAGACTAGTTGGTTTGTCCAAAGCCTGAGACAAGCCATGTGGGGGCTCGACATATTTGTACACTACACTATTTCGTAGTAGTCGTTTTAAGAGAATTAGCTATGGTATTATAGTGATTGAATAATTAGTTGTTTCAAGTCAATACATAAGTGTTATGAGTAGTGTGATCGTCGATTATCAATATACAAGGTGAAATATACCATTGTTTTATTATTTTGTTAAGGTTGGTTAATATATCATTTTGTTCATGTCCCAAATCAGGCAAAGCGCACGTCCTGGATTACATTGCTAACCGCATTCTATCTATCTTATGACAACTAGCTGATATTTGCTGTAGAATATTTTCATATTTAACTGTAGCCAGCGTTTAAAACTCCAAATTTTGGGATGTGAATCAATAGTTTTCTATTTCTAATCCATGAAGTATAAAAAATAATAGTTTGTTTTCATTGTTTTATCTTTTAAGCAGACAGAAGATTATGAACAAAATAATATGGCTGTAGAAAATGTGGATCCGTATCTAGTCAATGAAGTAGTAAATCCTTATAATCAGTGGTCTAAATTTGGATCTGCATCAAACTACCTCAATTATATGAATCCAAGTGGAGATTCTAAAGATCATACAGTCAATTCTGCAAATGATTCACATTATCCAGCTGGTGCCATCACTAAGCTGACTACTTATGGGACAAATAATGCTGAAAGTAATGATTACTTTTTTTACCAGGTTTTTTGTTGGATATTTTTCATGTTCTAACCTAAGCGAACAAAGTAAAAATAACACGTAAGGTGATATATATATATATATATATATATATATATATATATATATATATATATACAGTTAAATAAGTCACATAGTTGATGTAAAGTTCACTATTCTTAATAAAACTACTTGTCTTTGTTGGTTTCCAATGAATAACCTTTAATTAAGCATGCCCATGTTGATAATATTTTTCAGATTGATTGCTCTTACTTATTTTGCAACTTTATATTTCTCTTCCAAATTGATTAGAAGTAATAAATACTCAGTGATTTATTTATTAAACTATCTCGATGAGATTGTACTTCGACAGTTTACTTGGTCTCTTTCCACATCATCTGTATTATTATTCTAAACAAATATCCCCACAACCATATATAAAGACAGACTTGGCACTTTATCAAAGTGCTTATGACGTGTTCTTCAAGTGTATAACACATATCGCAATGTTTTACTTGTAGGCTTCCTGTTAAATTATCTAAGGTTTCCTCAAAATATAATATCATAATTAACCAGGTATTCGTTGAGATTCTGCTAAATTTTCTCTTGGTCATCTTTACTGATGTAATCATAACCCTATTATCTATGTTTGGGTTCATTTGTACTATAGAACACATAGTCACTTAGATGAATGTTTTGAGAAATCTAATAAAGTCACTGAAAAGGCATATATATATACATCCATATTATTCACTTCGAAGACCACACTTCTTCATCAATTAAAACGAAATTGAGATTATCCTACACGTTTCTGCCAAACGATTGATTAACAGTTGATTATTTTCTTTTGTGTGGCATTCGTCATGTTACTAGTGTGTATATATTGTCATTAAAATACAAGCATAAGTATTTTCAAGTTCTACTTCTAATTGGCCAGTCAATTTTCCTTTTACGTATGCTTCTTTTGAGAAATAATTAGTTTTCATCTTTTGTGCTGTGGGTTAACACGTTTTTTTTTTTTGTTGTTGTTGTTGTGGTGGTGGTTTTTCGACTATCATTTTCTTTATTAATCTCCCTCTACCAGAAGTTCTTCACTGAACTTTGATTATTTAGTTATATATGAATTTGTATTCTTTGTTATATATAATTGACAATTTGTTTACAATTCCATAAGGTCTTAATATCGTTCACATGTACATACAGGTTAAATGACGAGTTTTTAATGACTATCTTATCAACTGATTTAGAAACAACGTGTTTTTAATGACTTTACAAATAATTTTATTGAATTTAATTTTATTTGTCATACAAACAATATCAAACTATATATTCCTACATATTGTATCTCATGTTGATCGTTTCTTCGACCTTTAATTCAACTACATAATAAAATTACCTGGTAAAAGTGTAATTGAAGTTTAGTGTTGATATATTATGGTTTTTTTAAGACTACACCCTTTAAAGTATATTAGTTTACTTTCAGAATATACTTAATTTTTCATTTCCACTTATGTCATCTGTAATTTGACGTATATATATCAAAAGAGATCTATATTTGTTATTAGTTAATCTATTTTACTACAAATGAAATGTTTGTTAGACGCATAAAATTTTTGTAGTGTATTTTTTAAAATAAAAACAACAATCTTTATTTTTATTACTTCCACAGATACTTTAACATCTAATTCCAATGTGATTAATTGCAAACCGAATGCAACTGTTCTTACTTCTCATGAAAACACATTCAAAACTCAACATGCTGTTGTAACACAGTTTTCTTCTTCAGGACGATCAGTGACTATACGATTGCATGGTCCTGCTGCAGGTGCTATACAACCAGTTTCTTTACATGTAAGTAAAGTTGCATCGACCGTTAATTGTTTATAATGTATTATTCTTGTATTGACACGTTTACTTAGCTTGTGGATGATGAATAAACTAGTTTAATAAACTTTTACAAACTAATTATTTACCTATATAGCAAAAATTAACTGATGGTATGCGCTTTTGTTTTGAAAGCTTTTTTATGTTTCAGTGACTTAAACTCTTGTCTTAAAACTAAGAAAATACAATGCTATTTTATACACATTCTACATACTTCAGTTTGTTAGGTGGTTAGTATTTACAACTTATTACTTAAGTGTTATTCAAAGTTAAGTATTCAAAGGTTGCTGCTGGGTATTTTTTTTTGATTATTGTACCCCATCCAGGGATTAGATCTAAAATTTTATCATTCCTCTTTCAAAACATTTGTTTTCTTAAATTTATGTAATATGCATAATTGTCATGTTTTAGTATTTCTGTGTTTATCCGTCGTAATGAAATATCACAAACATTTTGTCAATTCTCTAGGAGGAATTTTCATTTCATCAAATCAAAGATCCTCCGTCATTTGATACGTTAGCTAGTTCAGATGTAGATATTTCACATGAAGAAGAAGTTGGCTGTGAAGTATCTACATGTCAATTGATACAAAATGAAACCACTGGTCATACTAGTAAATATTTCCAGGTATCTGATTCAGAAGGTGGTGGTCATATTCCCATACATGATGGAGCTATTGAAAGTATTGATGGAGTGGAAGATGGTGAAGCACTTGATTTTTGTGTTGTTTGTGGTCAATTAGAACCTCCAGAATTATCTTGTCAACCAATTTCTGATCAGGGTAATGTGGACGATCTACAGGTAGGTAAACAGATATATAAATTGTATTTTTAACATTCAATAAACAAAACATCAAATTGAGGTGTAGATTCATTCTTTAAGTACCGTTGTAGTGAAGGAGAACACAGGTGAGGGCAACCGAATTGTATTTATCACAAATTACAGAGTTACTCAGTAAAATAGGAAAACCATATCGTAAACGGTTAATTTGCAAATCTTCAATCCATTGTCTGACATTTCACTATTCATGCGTTTCATACAAATTCCATTGTGTGTTCCCACTCTTCCTTTCTTGATCTTCCCTCATCTTCTGCTGCCAGACATTACGTTTTCACTCGCGTCATATACTACTTATAAGTAGCGCGCACCACACCGTTAGTGTCCATGTTATAAAATAGTAGAAAGATACTACTCAATATTGAACTGATCTATTAAAGATACCTGTTTAACAACATTTTGTTCGACATGATGTGTTAATTTCTATTATCGATAAAAGTTTACGTATGTTTGTAGCTAGCTAGGTTCACTAATTGTCAAGATAGTTATTTAATTTCACTAGGAATTATCTATTTTACCGAGATGATTCAATCATCTTTTTTATCACTGATAACCCTGATAAGAATTTAAATCGCTTAGTTGTTTTTTCTTTCAATTTTGACTGGTTTATTGGTTGTAGCATTATCATAAATTTCCTTTCTTACAAGATATTTCAAACTAACTTCATCAAATATGAACTAATAACTTTTTGTTCATCTTTAGTCGCATAATTGACTTTCGATTCATTTTAGAGTACATTTTTCAAAAAGTTATTCAGTTTTTTTAAGGTATTCAATACTTTGTTGTCAGTTCTTTCAAGGTGATGGTATTACTCGATAATATCTATTGTCAGATTTGCTAGGTTGACTTCAAATCTACAATACATGGTTAATAGTAGTGCAATAAATTCACAGACCTTAACGAAATTAACTGTATGCGAAAGTTAAGGTTGTGGTGGTATTTCGTTCTCTGAGCTGGTTGTTTTGGTTGTGGAGCTTTCATTGTTCTTCTGAACAACATCTGAAGTTTGTGCTGATGATGTTGTTCAGAAGAACAATGAAAGTTCCACAACCAAAACAACCAGCTCAGAGAACGAAACACCACCACAATCATCCACCTTAGCTACAAGTTTTCTCCACCATCTCGAAAGTTAAGGTTGTTTATGTCATTAAAGTTTTTATACAAAAGTAGTTAGTCAATGCATTTCAAATTTTGTAGACAGATGTATTTCTTTTACTGATCTCATATAAAGTATCTAATATTTAACTTTTGTACACAGCAGCTAAGCACGCTAATCTAAGCTAATTAACAACCACTTTCATAGATGCTTTTCTTGATCTCTCACTTTTCTCGTTATGATCACACGTTAATCACTTCTCGTTTTTTTTAAAAAAACACAATTGTATATTTGTTTAATTTAAACTTAATGTTTTTTGTTTGTTTTGTTTGTTGGTTATTTAGGTTATTGATTGGGCACATTGTGATTATTGTAATCGTTGGGTACATCTTAATGGTCTTTGTAGTGAAGGTGCTGTAATAGGAAATAATTCATTTATGTGTGTTGTATGTCGAAATGATAGTTCAACTGTACGAAATGTAAACAATCTTCAACAAGAAACAATACTAACCACTAAACATGACAATACAGAACAAGAACAATCAATCGATGTGAATGGTTAAATGTACAGAAATATTTCTTTTTTTCCACCGCCCCTCCCCCCTTCTTTTTATTGTCTTCCATATTGGAAATAATTGTTTATCATTGTGTGTGTACATAGAAAACTGATACAAAATATTTTTGTAATAAACCAGGGAAGTTTTTTTATTCTAACATTCCAAATTGTATTTTTGTTTAGTTTCACATTGTAATAAGTTGCTTATATTCTGTTTGTTTTTATTCTTGACAATAAAATGAACTATGAAGACTTTTTTTTTATAATCTCTACCATGTTGCCGGCAAACAAAGGCTTTTAATGCACAATATAAACAAATTCATCCATAAGTATGTAGATATATATTTTTTACATCATCGTTTTGACATGAAGAGTTGAGTTATACTAGAGAGAGAGAGAGAGAGTAAATTTCACGCTACATTGGGGTTTTTTTTTGTTCATTGTGTTACTGATCTTTTCCATACTCAACTTCTTCTTATTCATTGCCTTTTAACACCAACTGTGGCTGTGCCAATCAAATTTGTAGATAGATGAAATTGTGATTTTTTCTAGAAAATATAATATAATGTGCTAACAAGTATTTCTAAATATTTACTTATTGTGTTAAATATTTTTTTAAAATGTAAATTGTGCTTTATTATTCAGTTTACAAGTTTTTCCATAGTACATATGTAGATTAGGTCATTTGCTGAGCATTACCAACTGTGGTTCACTCATATTGACGATATTAGTGTTTTGCATGGTGTTATGCAAATAAGATTTAATTCCTCTCATTACTGGATAATTAGTATCTGTGTTCTTGTTGACCAATAAAATGTTCAGGTTAACTGACACAAAAAGGTTATTAATGTTTTGCAATAACGATGTTCATCACCGCAACATCAGCGTCATGCATTAATAGTTATTGTAGCTGATGGACACAGTCACCGTTAGCACTCAGCTAACACTTTACTTCTTCGATATTGGCACATATGTTAACTTCCCATCGGCAACCTCAATTAATCATCAGTAGTGACCAATGTTTGAGCTATAGGCGGCTAATGGAATCCCACTAACCATAAATGGAAAGGGATACGTGTGTTTGGACATTGTTTCATGTTAACTTGTATTGAGCGAGTCACGATACCAGATTGATTATGCTCACCACTAAATGTTCCATAATATCCCACCATTATTAAAATCAAAATAAATCCATGATGTAGTATTTTATTGAAGGAGAACGTTGGCATTACATGGGGAGCAGGGCATTTAGAAAAATGACAGCAACACGAAGAGAACGTTGCGCGCAAGAAGTAGTATAAGTTTTTTTGGTAGAGTTAAACAAAGCGAGTACAATAATGTTTATTTTTCACAAATCGTATTTTCTTCGTAGAAGCGTTCCACTACAAACTCAACACCAACGCTTCAATGCTTAGTATTTGTTTTTCATCAATGAACGTGTTTCTGTCAAAGGATAAAGCTAGATCAGTTCAATTTTCTCGAAAATGAGAAATCAACTATAAACGTTTTTAATTATGGAATTAAAATTTCTATCCTTTATGGATATGTCAAATCAAACATGAACAATTAATACCTCATCCGTCAGAAAGTAGGTTAAATAAAAAGCGTCCAAAGTGTCAGGAAAAAGGATTAAAAGAAACCGAATGCAAATTGTCGGTAATGAATTTGAAATAAACTAGAGTACGAGTACAGTCATCATCATTAATGAGAGTTGGCGGTGGGGAATACTGTTGCATATAAGGCAAACCATTATGTCACTCAGGGAACCAAAAGACATTCTCACATATACACTTATGCAAAGAATATATTACAATTTGAACATGTGAGGGGAGGAAATGCAAGAATTATGGTCAGCTTCAAGTATTCGTGTTCGCCAGTTAGCGGATTCACATACACCAGTAGTTCGTTATGTTATTATTGGCTAACATAGTCAAACCGGATTATGGAACAAAGATAAAAGTAAGTATTGCGAATACAACTGCGCTTTCGTTACAGTTCACTGCGAGGTCGGTACTATCATGTCAAAAGTGACCTTTGTCTCAACAATTGGTTCAGCCATACATCAGTGCGTTGGTAACATTGGAAATCCATTACATACTTCTAAAATGTCAGGAAAATGGATTCAAGCAATTTGATCTACTAATTGCTACAGTTTCTGAACACAACCAATAGTTTTTATGTTATATCGTTTCTTATCATAAATCCAACAAATTTATCAGCAAGAGATTGCCTATATTATACACTGAGTGAATAAACAGAATACAGTCGTCAGAAGTGTTAGGAAATTCTGTATAAAACTTCCGATAACATTCTCGCAACACCTTCAGATCTACTTCAATACTGTGAAGTCATATATGTCCTTCATATCTCTAGATAACTCCTTCCTATTTTCATTTATTATATGATGATAACTACCAGTTGTTGGAATAAAACAAACAACCGGATATGATACGGTACTTTGTTAATCATTAATCACAAGTAAATAATAGTGAGAAAATATTGTATAGAACCAGAACGGATATAATTTTGAAGAGTTCTAGTTTTATGGCTTTTACACTCATAAATATTGGGCAGATAGTGCTGCTGCATTGCTTGGCTCCCATATCGTCTTTTTATGCAACTTACGAGCATCAACACGGCGAAATTTCGATAGAACTAAATAACAATCAACGTTGTCATTACTTTGACTCTCTTGGTAGTTGCCCCCACTGTTAACACATTTCGTTTATTCATGATGGTGGATTAAAATGTCAATCTATATTATTTACTTTTTACTCATCGCTGTTAAAATTACTGTAAGTATTCAAATTCTATTGAACGGAACTTGCAGCACTAAAAATTTTAAGGAATATAAAGCATCAAATCAATGTATTGCTTATACTACAGTCTTAGGGAGAAAAATTGAGTACAGAAGTTACTTTATGAGGGACTAAACTACTCAATATCTGAAACTTAAACCACTAATCAGTGTTACTGGCGTCCTAATTCCAATATCCAAAATCCTTTTCACCAGATTTCTTTGTACTCGATTCTTGTCTTTTCTGTATGGTTCCAGGCAGTTGGTAGCCTAGCATGAACTACATCAAAAGTTTATTCAAACAAAACTTGAACTGATGAGGATTATGTGGTTAAATGTTTTTAGCAAAAAAAAAATACAATGTGTTTGCAAAGTTGTTGAATGATGTGTGGAACAAGCGAATAATACTCAAAACTACATACATAGGCATGATTCAGAAGTTACTTGTTAAGTTTCAGTGCAGCACATTCTATTGATCACTAAATGCACAATTAAAATGTTCGGTTTTTAGTCTTGATATTAGAAAATCCAAGGAAATATATGATACTTGTATACCATTGTGAATGGTTTTATTTTATCAAGCACCTGATTAAACTTCCGAGTACAACACGATCGATTGTTTTCACGGTGTTCTTACATGACTGCTGGATTAGTATACAAAATACGAGTACTTCTGGATATCATATGATAATGTGCTATATAATTCAGTAATAAGAACACTAATGTCACCTGTAGATGCGCAAAGTATTTGTATTAGTATTCTATCAACGTAGCATATGATCGGATGAGATCAAAAAGTGTTATGAGCAACTGTGTATTGTGAAATCAGAAATAAGTGCAGCATGAAAACCGGGATTCTTCATCACAAAGATTTATTCCCAAATATCAATAATGCCTTTGTGAGTAACATCTGTGAATAGATGTCGCGTGTATCAATTCGTGATAAAATAGTATAACCTATTTCTAATACAGCACATCCGAAGTTATATATTTTCCTTATTATCCTATATATTGTTGAGCTTTTATCTGACGTAAGATTAAGAATATGGTGATGAGATAATTTAGACTTCATTTACATTTGTATGGATTCTCACAACTTGGCTTCTTTGCAGATTGCATTCTTTAATTTTCATGTACTTACTTTGTAGTAGCATTAGTTTCTGATCACACGATCCTCAAATCTAAATATGCAAAAGCTGAAAAGTGTTGCACTGGCCGTTCAGCAGTGGGTGAAGGCCAGAAATAGTAAGGGCGGAAATACCTAGTGAGGACGGCATGATTCAGCCATGAAGGGTTGGTCACTCTACGTAACCACTTGCTTTCAAAATCTATGTAGATCATTCTGCCTCTAGTTCTAGTAAGTTACTCAGAAGTCTTGAGCACATACTGCTGACTGTCACAATAGAACGAGTCGGTATAGTCATCGATGTTATATATGGATTAGGTATTTGCACTATGGCAAGTCTATAATTATGGAATAGGTCTATTGTTTTTTAGCAGCGATAAATGCTCTATGATTGCTTTTGATCTAAATTCTACACATTTTTCTCAATCCGTAATATCTTAAGACAACGTATGAAGAATTGGCATTCGAACAACTAACTCCCACCTAATGCCATATTTTTCCTTGTTGGTCGGCTCTCTTTTGAACATTCTCTTGTCTGGAGGAACTGCAGCCCTTTCAGTGCAGTTTCACGAGGAGAATTCATATCCGCGTACGTAGCAGTGGCTTAACAAGCCAAGTAAACACACCATGGACCTAATAGTGTCCTTGCACTATAACTATCATTTCAATATGATAACTTCTGGTTAAAGTGACATGGCCGCTGTGGAACAAAGTAACTTATACTTGGATCAATTTCATTCAAATCAGTGCACCAAGTCATTCGATTAAGCACATGTGAAGATGCTATATACTGGGAACCATAAGATTATAGTTATATGAAACCAATCATTGGCAGTCTGGTTTAACTCATAAAGCTGTTAGGATACATGCATTTCATACATTCCTATCCTGAGACAAAATATGCACGTAAAATGAACAAATAACTCTTTTGGGTTAAGCTTTGGTAACGTATACAATGAACAGTCCATCCTATGAATGGAAAAACCCTCAGATTAAACAAATGTATTAACATTCTTGAAGTATATCAGTACCGTGATGGCTCAAAGCTTGAATCCATCTTGAACAAGCAATTATATATATCGTGAAAACTAATCTTCTACTTAGTCAAGTACTTTACACATAGGCTAGCACAATTTTTGAGATACAGATAACGAGATACCAGATATGAATTCACTTGGATGATGATGACATATAAGGCGCATAGGCGCAGAATAATATTGACACTTGTATAAGATGAATCTGTGTTGAAAATCGCAATTTCCGATGAAGAAAATAATCATTAAGATGCTTAAAATAGCCCAATATTCACATTCAGTCTTCGTTATTATACTCGGTTAAACAGCATGATAAACTGAAGTACATAGCGGTGCTAAAGGCTATACTTCTGGCAATAACACACACTCGGAAATGCATCTGCATGCAAGGCCGTAAAATATTCGATTTGATTGGAATAATACGTCCGTCAATTAGACAGCATCAGTTCACATAATGAGGAGTATAAACTATTGCCAAATCAAAAAAATTTTCTACTTACGAATAAAGTACTTTGAACAGGTACCTAATCCACGATGATGGCTTAGGAAATGACTTAGTGTTCAGAAGAGAAAAACCTCTCAGCCCAGGAAGGTCACTAGGATTTTACATTCATCACCTTGTCGTCTTGGATCAGTGTGTAGAAGCCCTCAGTTCACTGGTATGTGACCTGTCCAGGCATTCAGTTGAGTTACAATAACTCTCAGCTGAATGGAAACAAGCTACTTTCGTTTCAGCCTTTAAGAGGTGACATAAGAAGGCTCCAGCCTGTTACAGACTAGTCGCATTACTAAAAAAATTGTCGAAGGTAATGGAAGGAATGTTGAAGGAGCTAACGAGACAGTAAAAGAACAACATACTCAATAAATATATCTAGGGTTCAGGAAAGTCAGGTCATGTTCATTCAATATTCTCATAGCATGGGACAGCTAGGCAATCTATGGAGATCAAAAAATACCGGTTCACATAATATTCCTTCACTTTACAAAAGCTTTCGCCGGAGTAAATCATGTCCTCTAGTTTGCATGTGGCTTCACTTATCCGCTTCTATTTTGTCTCAGAAATTACCATGACGTTACGTACCAAGACTAACAGAGTGACTGAGAGCTAGAGATTCTGAACATCAGGAGTTTCATAGGGAACCATCTACGGACCACTTCTCTTACCGATATTTATTTACGACATGTTAGACACAGTTAGCTCGCCGGCGTTGATCTACACAGACGATGCAAAGATCTGCAGGTCTATAGGAAGCGAAGAGGATTCAACTGAGCTCCAAAAGGATCTAACATCCCTTGAGGAAAAGCCATTGAAAAACGGTTAAAAACGAAACGTTTCGAAATGTCACGTCATGTACATTCTGCCCCACATGAAGTTAACAATTTACACCCTCAAAGGAAGTCCGCTCCCTAATGTCTCCTCAGGGCGCGATCTCGGTTTAATGAGCACAGAAAGCCTACACGCCAGCTCGAACCATATAAGGGACGCAGCCAAGGCAAATGCGACTCTTCACTTTATGCGATGACAGACCCGTTCTATGACTGCTGAATTATTTTTAACGCTGTTCAAGATACATGCACGACCACACCTGGACGTTCACAAAAGTCTCTTGGATCGAATGCAGAGACGAGCAATGAAATGGACGATAGGGTTGAAGAACAAACCTTACAGAGATACCTGCACTTGGGATTATTCCTCCTAAGTTACAGGAAAATCAGAGGTGACCTGATTATGGCGTACAAAATATTAAGCACGTCAAACCATCCAAACATGAGCAACTTACCGATGACTTACCACCACTCCTCTCGAGGTAATCCTCCAAAATTTGCGCATCAAAGAGCGAATACCCAGGTTCATGCAAACGTTTCTCGCTAGGAGTCGTTGCAACTTGGAATGCTCTCGTAGCCGAGGTGACCACAGCCCCCTCAGTGGACAGATTCATGAAGATACTTGATAATCACATACTCACATTCGGATTATCGGACAAGCTGTTCATGATGCATATCTTGAGACCTGCTAGTTGTTATCATTGCCATCTCCTCAGATCACTCACTCAATCTATCTCGCTTACTGTCTCTATTTCCTCTCCCTTGCATACACTACACCACCAATTAATAAACTAAACTATCTATTTATTTAATAAGTTTTGAAATCTTATTGGCATGAGAATTTTTTCCTTTTTATCCTCTATATTGAAATTGACCGATCTGGTGATGTGATAGCTGCTAGTATGCAGAAACCCTACTACCCTGAAACAAACGTATTCATTCAAAGCACTAGACAAACGAACTCACCACCAACCGCCAATCGACTAGAATTAGAAAATCAAGTGGCTAGACCACCATTAATTGGACAGCAACAAGCACCTGGAACCGTGCAGAAAATACAGGAATCGAGCACAAAAAAATCAACCGATTTAACTAGCTCGTGAAAAAGATATTGGATGTTGAAACAGTGGGTTTGATGCGTTATTAAGCTCAGACGGTACGCGTTGGTTGCTCAGTTTTTCGGTTGTATATGTTCGCTTAGAAAATCCACACTGAAGAATGGCGTAGTTCATGTTTATTTGTTAGTTCGAGACCAGATTCCCATGGGTCTTTTAGGTAATGACTAAAATTTTGCTTCTTCAGGCTGTCAGCTGTTTGTACATATGGTGATGCATGTGCCAGATACCGTCCATGTACCTAATTCGGCTTTTAAAAGAAACGGGTAACAATTACGCTGAAGCACATATTGTATAAAAATGACCTGATAGTTTGCAGTTAGAACGAAAAGTAGAGAACCATCTCATTTGATTGTGTCAGCCTTTGACATTAAATTTTTACCTGGTTGTCAATTGGTTTAACTAGCTCGTAAAAAAGGAAACAGTGTGTTTGGCGAGGAACATATACTTTTTCACTGGACAGTTAGCTTTTAAGTTTTGGTTTGTTTTAGTAACTGGAAAAACTAAAATTAGATAAAATCTACGGAACCTATGGTTGTGACTGTAAATGATGGTCTCCAATATTGGTTGACTGAACTCAAAAGTTAGAAATCTAGCGATCGAGAACTAAGGAGGAAAGTATTCGCGCTGACATTCCATTAGTTAAACGGGATAACGCCAACCTTGTGTAATGTCTTATTGAGACTTTGTTCGCACAAACTAGTTTCACTCTGGAAAGGACTGGAAGGCTTGTGTTAGTCCCAAGTGTTCGTTTCTCAGTTGATCAAACCTCTTGAATGCGTTAACAGATGGAGATTCAAATATATGTATATATAGGCAATAATTTTCATTTGTTCAAAATCTTTTTCACGAGCTAGTGTAAACCAATTTGATTTCTTCGCGCTCGAAGGTCGATAGTTATGATATATCAAGACTTTAATACTCCGTCTAAATCAAATCCTAAAGGGGACTGTGTTTGTACATCACAAAATAACATAGACATGCGTCAAGCGAATGAGTATCGATGTACGTACGTACAAAGTTCTTCGTTGTAGCTTACAGACTATATCGAAAACAAAAGTAAATTAAGCTCTACTCCTAATTCAGGTGCACCTTTTAAACAGAAATCCACCCAGTACAATACACAAGGAGGAATACATATTGAAATAGGGAACTACTTATTCATTTATTTATTTCTTATTTGAAATGTATTTTTATCCTGTGACAAAGAAACCATGAACTACGACAAATGTGCTATAAAATTTTCGAATTACTAAGCAGTGGTTATTAAAATATCTTGACAGTTACGAGGAAAGTAAAGAAGAATGTGTTATCAGGCGGTCTTCAAAAGTATCGCTGTTGCAGCGTTTATTAACCTGAAACTCTACTTTCCAGTTAGAGCTTTGTCGGCCTTACTCATTTTTTGTGTAAATTTAAACATTCTTAGTAAACATACATGTGACAGTGTTGTAAATATTCTGCAAACATCAATATCTTCTAGTTTGTGGTTGATTTTTACTGTTAGGTATTAATGGTGTCCGTTATTTCTAAAACTGTACGGAGAGTACTGTCGTCTGAAAAAGCTTATTTCCCAAAGTATTTCATATCTACTTCCGTCAGTTGCCACAAAAATACCAAATTATCAAATCATAAAGGCACTACAATAATATCCAAAGTTACTGGTCGCAAAGAAGATCTTTGGCAGTTATATAATGAAGTAGTTTATCCGCCTGTACCCGATGTTTCAAAGTCCGTTCTTTGGGATAATAACCTACGACCAGGTGAAGTTACACATCGCCGAAATGATATTTTATACAGCAGCAAAAGACTATGGATGCTAGGTCAAATGGTATGTTAACAGAGTCATTAATAATATTTTTATGTGTCTGATTGTATGTATCTATTTAAATCTATCCTTTTCTCAACATAATATACAAATGAATAATATTAAATATATCTCAACTTATAAGCCCTTTCTCTGTTTATAACCTCAATTTTATTTTATTTAAACACATGAAGATTGTCAGAAAGAGACACTAAAATATATATGCGCCACAAAAATCACTGAATTTGTGCATGGGCTAGACTATTATCAGGGTACCCAGACAGAAGCAGGTGGCTTTTTTAGGATATGACTGCCATGTTCTGTAACCTATAGGTCTAATCCACAAGGTAATAGAGCGACAATAGGATATACTGTCCCATAGTAATCGATTACCAAGACTAGGTTCATACCTCATTTGTCTCAGGATCCATGAGCCTGTGTACACTGTCGCTTTGTAATCAAGGTCTTAAACGGATCCTCCGTAGGCACGCACCAAGTGAGTGAGTAGCACTTCCTTGTTAGTAGCTATATGGGGGTATTTAGAGAATAAACGAAATCTCCTTATTCTCGACCTCACCAAGCCATATTTTTAATCTTTTGCTATAGCTATCTGTCTTATACGAAGGCTGTAACAACCGGAATCTACAATTTCACTACAGTATCAGTTCTTAACTGTGCATCAGTTTTAATTACTTAAATTTTTTTAATAATGGGATATTTATCGAGTCAGTTCCTTAATAGGTTTGATACAATACTATGAAACCAGTTAACGTGTATTGTAAATGACGTTACACTATCTAAATGATCTGTATAATGTCAGCCATTTGTAATAGCCGTTCGCAAAATCTTTTAAAACTAAGTCATGATTAAGACGATCACTTCATTCTGAAGGTTGTTTAGAACTGACCTAAAGAAGTAAAGATTTCTATATTTACTATATATTCTATAAAATACGTATGTCAATTGAGTGGAGCTGGTTAATCTGTAAATAATGCTGATCAAAACCACTTAGGAAAAGAATTAACCATTTGGGCAATCGAAAATATCCCCTCAAATCAAAATCTTATCATGTGACAACAACAATTTCGGCTAAATTGAATGCTCACTTACTTACGCCTGTTACCCCCAATCGAGCATAGGCCGTCCACCAGTTTTCTCCAACCAACTCTGTCCTGGGCTTCCCTTTCTAGTTCTGTCCAATGTTTGTTCATTCCTCTCATGTCTTTCTCTATTCCTCGGCGTAATGTGTTCCTTGGCCTTCCTCTTTTCCCTTGACTTTGAGGGTTCCAAGTGAGGGCTTGTCTTGTGACGCAGTTAGGTGCTTTTCGTAGTGTGTCCTATCCACTTACACCGCTTCTTCCTGGTTTCCTCCTCCTCTGGAGTCTGGTTTGTTCTCTCCCACAGCAGGTTGTTGTTAATCATGTCTGACCAACGAATCCTCAGTATTTTGCGTAAACAACTGTTAATAAACACTTGTATCTTCTGGATGATGGCTTACGTAGTTCTCCAAGTTTCCACTCCATACAGTAGAGTAGTCTTGACATTTGTATTGAAAATCCTGATTTTGGTTTTGGTTGAAAGTTGTTTGGGGTTCCAGATATTTTTCAACTGTAGAAATTCAGCCCTTACTTTGCCGATCCGCGCCCTCACATCTGCATCGGATCCACCTTGATTGTCGATGAAGCTGCTCAGATATGTAAACGTGTAAACGTTCTCCAAGGCATCTCCATCAAGAGTGATTTGGTTGATGCATGTTGTGTTGCATCGGAGAATTTAGCTTTTTCCTTTATGTGTGTTGAGACCTACGTCTGCAGAGGCTTCTGCTACACTGGTCGTCTTTTCTTGCATTTGTTGTTGCGTGTGCGATAGAAGAGCCAGGTCATCTGCAAAGTCCAGATCGCCCAGCTGCGTCCTAACTGTCCACTGAGTGCCGTGCTTCCCTCTAAATCTTGACGTCTTCATAATCCAGTCGATGATGAGGAGAAAGAGAAAGGGTGAGAGTAAGCAACCTTGCCTGACACCGGTCTTCACCTCGAAAGAGTCTGTCAGCTGACCTCCATGCACGATTTTGCAGTTTAATCCATCATAAGAGTTCCGTTCTGTGTTAACTATTTTCTCAGGCACACCGTAGTGTTGAAGAAGCCTCCACAGTGTTTTCCTATCCACACTATCGAATGCTTTCTCGTAGTCGATGAAGTTGATGTAGAGGGGTGAGTTCCATTCAATTGATTGTTCCACAATGATCCGTAATGTAGCAATTTGGTCAGTACACGATCGATCCTTATGAAATCCGGCCTGTTGATCTCGAAGTTGGGCGTCTACGAAGTCCTTCATTCTGTTTAACAATACCCTGTTGAAGACTTTACCTGGTATTGAGAGAAGAGTGATGCCTCTGTAGTTCTCACACTTGCTGAGATCGCCTTTCTTTGGTATTTTGATCAGGTATCCTTCTTTCCAATCTGATGGTACTTGTTCCTCATCCCAAATCTTCTTGAAGAGAATGTGAAATATTTTCGCAGTTGCTTTTACATCTCCTTTCATTGCCTCTGCTGGAATGTTGTCTGGTCCTGCTGCTTTGCCGCTCTTGACCTGTCTGATGGCCATGCTGATCTCTTCGATTGCTGTTGGCCAATATCGATCGGGAGGTCCGTAGATGCTGCTTCGATGTTGGGTGGGTTTAGTGGAGCTGGTCGATTCAAGAGTTTCCTAAAGTGCTCTACCCACCTATTTCGCTGTTCCTCAGTGTTGCTGATTACTTTGCCTTCCTTGCTTTTTACTAGTCGTTCTGGTTTACAATGTTTTCAAGCGAGCTTCTTTGTTGTATCGTACAATTGTCTCATGTTTCCTTCTCTTGCAGCCTTTTCCGCCATCATTGCTAGATCATCCACATATTTTCGTTTGCCGGCTCTGATGCTCTTCTTTACTTGTTAGTTTGCTTCAGTGGATTCAGCTTGTGCTTTAATTTTCTCTGCTCTTGTTCGGCTGACATTGACTGCTGTACACTTGTTTCTCCTTTTTCAAGAGTACCAACGGAGATCCATTCCTTATGACCCAGAACCTCGTAACATGTTGAAGTGATTGCCTCCTTTATCCCTTTACAACTGTTCTCCAAGGTTGTTTCCTCTCCATAAAGTAGATCGTGCAAGGCCTGGAACCTATTGGAGAGGGCTATCTTGAATTCGTTGAATTTTACGTTATCCCGAAGAAAGGTTGTATTAAACTTCTGTGGTATTGTCTGCCTTGTTGTCCAGTGTTTTTTGAGTTTCAGTTTCATTTTGGTGACCAGTAAGTGGTGATCTGAGGCTACATCGGCACGTCTCTTGGGTTCCACATTCTTCATGGTCCTTCTGAACTTTTGTTGATGAAGATATGGTCGATTTGGTTCTGAGTAGTGTGATCCGGTGAAATCCATGTAGGTTTGTGTATGCGTCTGCAAAGAAATATTGTGCCCCTGATGACCAGTTTGTTGAAGGCATATAAGTTTGCAAATCTCTCACCGTTTACGTTCCTTTCTCCCAGTTCATGTCATTCAATGATATCTTTATATCCAGTGTTGTCCATGCCAACCCTGCCATTTAAGTCTCCCATCAGAATGGCCAAATCCTTTGGTGAGCATCTGTCGACGATTGACTGCAGCCTTTCGTAGAATTGATCTTTGACGTTGTCATTGTACTCATTGATAGGGGCATAGCATTGGATGACGTTCGATGTAATGTCTTCTTTGTTTGTTTGGAAGGATGCCTTAATGATCCTGGGTCTTTGAGCTTCCCATCCTATCAGTGCCTTTTGTGCTTGTTTGCATAGTATCAGTGCAACTCCTTGTGTATATGAAGCATTTTCGTCTTCATGACCAGAGTATAACAGCAGTTTCCCTGAAGTTAGTCTCAGTTGTCCTACGTGCGTCCAATTGGTTTCACTGATTCTAAGTACCTCCAGGTTGTATCTTTTCATTCCTGCCGCAACTCAAAGTAGTCTTCCAGTCTTCCACAATGTTCGAACGTTCCATGTGCCTAAAAAATGGTTGCTCTGGTTGTCAGAAGGGGCGTCGGCCTCATGACTTCCGAGGGAACTCGGATTTCATCATGAGACATCATAATTCTTCTGAAAGAAGACCTAACTCCCAGGGCGGAGTTATAATGGTTTTGAATTATTTGTTATGGTTAGAGTTTTATTAGCGAGTTAGTTTTTTTGGTGGGATGGGGTCGCCAACCCCAAGCCCAACCCTCCTTTTTTTATCCAGGCTTGGGATCAGCATTAGCCCCTAAGGGTCTACAGGCGGAGTTTAGATTGAATGGAATCAAGTGATAATTTACAATCGAGTAAACGATTTATATATATATATATATATATATATATATATATATATATATTGTATACACATGATAATAATCTCTGTTCAACTTAAATTTTATCATCAATCCATTTGTTCAATATTACACTTTGTAATTGTAGATTCGTGGGAGATCTGTAGATGATGCTTTCGCACAATTAGGTTTTCGTCGTGAAAAAGGAGCAAGAATTCTGGAAGAGGTTAGTGAATTTTTTAAAAATTTGTGTTGTTTTCTTAACATCTAACTTATCCTATTTATCAATAAACATCATTATGTCAACATTAAACTTTCTTGCTGTTAATATAAAAAAAACAAGTCGAACTAATTTGTTAAATAATCTAATATTGACTTCCAAGTATTATTATTATCCAGAGGTTAGATCATATAATCTCTACAAGAAGCGCAGTAAGCCTTACAGGAAGATAATGTATTTATTTTTGTAGTTAAGTAGTGCGAAATTCTATATCTCAATCCTGTCGGGTGCAGGCAGTAACTACCAAAGACAAGTGGGCGAGGTCGCGCAAAGTCCCTAGATCAATCAAACATTAACACCAATGGATGCCAGCCCAGTGGTCCAGAGGTTAGGTGTTCACGCGCAAGACCGAAGGTCCCGGGTTTGAATCCTGCGAGGTGCATGAGTCGTGGATGCGCGTTGCGGATGAGTCCCATATCGGGACGAAACGGCCTTCTAGTGTTTTCAGGTTTCTAATCGTGGTCTAATAATTATTGATTGATGATTTCAAATGTGTAAAAACACTTATCACCATAACTCTAATTGAAAAAAACTGAAATGCTTGTTAGACGTTGAACTATCATCATAACCAGCCTTATCAGTCAGTCAGTCAGTTACAACGTAGAACTTCGTGTATGAGTACATAAGTTTAGGTTGCCATACCCCATTAGCAATGTGACGCAATGTCACTTCAAATCCCATAGTGGTGGAGATCGTAGAAGAATTAGCGGTAATGGAGAATATTAGGGATCGAAGATATTATTCAAGAAGTATAATTCAGTGAGATAACTTTAAAAAGTGAGAGTTGATAATGAATTCAGGTTATATTTTTGAGGGAACACAACACAACCCCAGTGTATTGAAGGCACAGGTTTGCAAATCTCTCATCATGTCCATATTGTCCCGTGATGTCTTCAGTGAAAGACAGACAGATACAACGCAGAACTTCGTACATAAGTACATCAGTTCAGGTTGCCATACCACATCAGCACAGAGACGCAACTGTCAGTTCAAACCTAAGAGTGATAGCGATAGTAGAAGTATTAGCAGTAATGGAGAAGATTAGGGAGCGAAAATATGATTCGAGAAGTATAATTCAGTGAGATAAGGTTAGAAGGAGAAAGATAGAGATTATGAGGAATTCAGAAGGTTAGAATTTCATAAAACGCAAAGAGTGGATGCACTTGCGCCATTGCAAATGATTCTGAGCCATGTCGTTCAAGGTCTCTAACCATCGGTGACTTTCGTCTAGCGGACCCCAACCAGGTAGCCTAACTCTATCAACATGACTCAGTTCACTTGTCAGTGATTTCGTGGATTTTTTTCATGTTTTGGTCTGGCCGCCTCTAGCTTTCTTACAACCCACAAAGCATAGCTCGTCGAGGCAGTCGATGGTTGGGTATACTTAACACATTTCACAACCACCTCAACTGATGAAGTTTCACTACTTCATCTATTGATTTGCCATTCCTACCTAGAACTCGTTTCCTAATGACAGAATTGCTTATACGGTTGTCCCAGGATACACGAGCAATGCTTCGGAGACATCGATGATCTAAGACTAGTAACCTACGAAAGTCCTCTACTCTTAACGGCCATGTTTCGCATCCATATAGTAGGACGGAGCGAACTGCTGAACAGTACACTCGTCCTTTGGTTAGCAAGTGGATATCTCACCTGTGCCATAGTTGACGCCGGTTGGCAGAAACCAACCGAGCCTTCTCTATCCGTACTGAGATCTCGTCAGTCACCAGGCCATCAGCACTGATGAGACTCTCCAGATACGTTAAGCGGTCTACACGTTCGACTACTTCACACCCTATCACTAGTTCAGGTGCTGACGCAACCCAATCTTGGAGCACCGGCGCCACTGCAAACGGTTTTGAGCTATGTCATTCAAGGTCTCTAACCATCGATTATTATCATCTCGCGGACCCCAACCAGGTAGTCGACAATTACCGACATGGCTAAGTCCACTCGTCAATGACTTCATGGATTTCTGCCATATTTTGGTTTGGCCGCCACTAACCTTCTTCCAACCTATTCCTACACCACAAAACAAAGCACGACGAGGCAGTCGGTGGTTAGCCATTCGTAACACATGTCCCAACCACCGCAACTGATGAAGTTTCACCACTTCATCTATTGATCAGCCATTCTTACCTAGCACCCGTTTCCTAATAACAACGTTGCTCACTCGGTTGTCCCACGGTATACGAGCAATGCTTCGAAGACACCTATGATCGAAAACCAATAACCGACGAATATCTTCTACTCTCACTGGCCATGTTTCACAACCATAACATAAGACGGAGCGAACTACTGCGCAGTACACTCGTCCTTTAGTCAGCAAACGGATATCTCGACTACGTCATAAGTGACGCAGGTTGACGAAAGTCAATCGAGCCTTCTGTATCCGTGCTGAGATTTCGTCAGTCACCAGGCCATCGGCACTGATGAGACTCCCAAGATATGTGAAGCGGTCAACACGCTCGACTACTTCACTCCCTATCACTAGTTCAGGTGCCGATACAACCCAATCTTGAAGCAACATCCTGTATTTCGAGGGTGAGAACCGCATCCCGAACATGCATGCATTGTTGCTCAGGGTGGTCAGAAGACTCTGCATCTTGTCAGCGTCTTCACGAAATAGGACTCTGTCATTGGCATATTCTGGATCAATAAGCGATTCTCCTGATAGAAAGTCGACTCCTGGAAAGTCGGACGAGGATAAGGTTATATCTAGGAGCATATCTATGACAAAATTAAACAAGAATGGGTGAAGTGGACAGCCGTGACGGACACCACTTGAAGTAAAGAATTCCGGTGACGGTTCGCCATAAGCTCTCACCAAACCAGTAGTTTTAGAGTAGAGAGCTTGTATAAGGTTGACATTCTTCTTTGGTACACCTTTCAGTGACAGACACTGCCACAGAACCTCATGATCCACCGAGTCAAATGTCGCATTAAGGTCCAGGAAGACAACGATTGTAGGACGTCTAAATGTATGTCTGTGTTCGAGGACCTGTCTTAGTGTGAAGATGTGGTCTATACAACCACGTCCAGGTCGAAAACCAGCCTGGTTTTCTCGAGTCTGCTCTTCACGAGCTGTAGTTGGACATCTAAGTATAATCGAGGCTAACAATTTAGAAACTATATTAGTTAGACTTATTCCCCTGTGATTGTCACAGGAAAACTTGTGTCCTTTCTTATAGATTGGGACGATCAGTGATTGAGTCCAGTCGGATGGGATTACGTCCAGTTCCCAGTTCTACCTAAGATCTCAGTCAACCTAGCAGATAAAACTGGACCACCATCCTTAAAAATCTCAGGGGTCAGTCTATCAGGACCTGCAGCTCGCCATCGCTTCAGATTTCCTATAGCCTTTTCAACTTTGTAAAGGTTTGGAAGGCTTACGTCGACATGCCATTCAGGATGACTTGGGATCGTCGGCAACCGAAGTGTGGCTGAAGGCCAGTTGAACTGATCGCTAAAGTGTTCTGCCCATCGATCCAGTCTCCTGGATTGAGAATAAATAATAGTCCCATCCTTTTCCGAGATAGTCTCACTTACACTAGGATTCATGAAACCAGTTTCCTTGATAAGTCGGAAAAGTTGTCTACTGTTGCCGATCGCCAGTGCCTTTTCCATCGCCTTTGCTTTCGCCACCCACCACTGTTCGTGGTCGTTACGTAGGCTTTTTATCAGCCTGCGCCTAAGCTTACTTCACTCTTCGTCATGTTCAGAGCCAGGTAGGATGAGTTTTCGAGCCTCTATCAGTTCGGTGGATGCTACAGAGATCCACGGCTTCATCCTAGCCTTATGGTTTACCTTACTAGCAGATATCACTGCTGTTTCCACAGCCTTTTTGATATCATTCCAACCTGACTCCGGATGTGAATCGCTTACATGGTTGCCTAACTCTCTTTCTAGTTGCTCGTGAAATATATTCTTAGCTTTATTATCATTAAGTATAACCCTAAGAGGCTTCTTTACGGTGTCTTTCCTACGTCCAGTAAGCCTCAAACAAATACGCGCTCGCACTAGAGCATGATCTGAATCTAAACATGTGCTCCAGAACGAGCGACAGTCCTCTATCGAACCCCTCCATCGGTGGCTGATGGCGATATGATCTAGTTGCGTCCAACGTTGAGACGACTTTGGGGATCGCCAGGTCAAAAGATGTTTTTCCTTATGTCTAAAGTTAGTGTTTGCTAAGAATAGGCGGTTATCTGAGCATAGTTGCAACAGACGGTCGCCATTGTCTCTTCTCTGAGCCGCGACACCATAACATCCACCGAGGTACCTTTCATTTTCACTTAGTCTACCTGCTTGAGCGCTAAAGTCATCAGCCATTATTACTATATCAGAGTACCTAGCTTTTTGAAGTAGGTTCGTAGGCTTTTTGTCAAACTCATCTTTCACCTTGTCTGAACTGCAGTCAGTGTGGGCATAGGCAGATACGACGAAGAGGCAACGACGGTGTCCCTATCTTTCCGAGTCCTTACTGTCCCGTTTAGTCGGACGGCGCACAAACGACTATCTATTGGTATCCAGTCAAGGAGAGATTGTTCTGCCCTACGACTCAATGCTATACCTACACCAGCAAGACCCCTGGAAGCAGCATCAGGGCTACCGGATACACTAAGAGTTGATTAGGCTGCTTCTTTGTTTTGATAAGGTGAAATCAAATTAGTAATTTTACTAGGATCCTGTATTCGCGTTTCCGAGACGCAGCGTACATCGATTGAGCGAGATTCTAAAGTCCTAGCTAAGGAAGGCTGTTGCCCTATTTGACACAATGTCCGTACATTAAAAGCTCCAACATGTAATTTATTACGAGGTTTCAGGAGACCAGGAATGACGTTTCGTGAACTCGCATCGTTTGTATTAGTTGTGCGGTGTGATGAAGCAATGTGAGAAGAGTTAGTCGTAGAGATAAGAAAGATATTAAGGGGTGTAGGAAGGATTTGATTACGACCGACTTCGTCTCGCGTGCTGTTACTGGTATGAGGGTGGTTGTCACTTCTCGGCTGCGCACACCGTGGAAGGGTGTTTTTTGAGGAACCTGAAAAGGAAAGTAGATTAGTGTTGGCCTTAACGACCTGAGAGAGTAACTGCAGTGCCCAAGGGACAACTGCTTGAGGCCGGTCACGCACGGCCTTTTTATGAAGGGTTTTTTGAGTATTAGCCCCGCTCTTGAAAGCCCATAGTGGGCACCCTTACAGCTGGAGACGGAAATCCGTGAGGTAGGGTGAGGTGTGACATTTTTAGGGTCGACTATTTCTAACGCTTCATTCCTTGTGAGAAGGCAGCATCGCTGCAGATGCTGGTTGTCCGAGGGAAACACCTTACTGCTGTCACAACCCTTTGCAGTCAGCAGTACGACTTCGCCCCCAGACCTTGAGTAGCTGCTTTTAGTCTCCTCGTTCTCCGATCGACCTGCCTGGCATGGTAGAACCTTCAGGAACATATATTCCAGCCAATATAGCTCAGTTGGGTCATGACGATAGGCAAGCCCGACCACCACGTCAAGGTAGCAGCTCCGGCCGGTATAACCAGCGTTGTACATATTACTTGACTTCGAATCGTGGAAAAATTATTTGCAACTACTACTAGCTTGTGCCTGGTTATCATTAAGCTCCGAATCTAGCAACACGCAGTGAGAGAACATGAAGACTAGTGATATGGATTTATTTAATTGTGGAAATAAATCACTATCATCCGTCAAAAAGTAGTCAGATGCAACGTAGAACTTCGTACGTAAGTACATCAGTTCATGTCGCCACACCACATCAGCACAGAGATATAATTGTCAACTCAAATCTAATGGTAGAAGAGGTAATAAAGGAATTAGAAGTAATCCGAGAGGTTAAGATTAGAAGATATTCAAGAAATATGGTTCAGTGAGAAAAGTTTAGAAAGTCAAAACTAGAGGGGTTGAAGAATCCAGAAGATTAGGATTCGGGAGAACACAAAGAATAAATACACCGACGCCACTGCGAACGATTTTGAGCCACGTCGTTCAAGGTCTCTAACCATCGATTATTATCATCTCGCGGACCCCAACCAGGTAGTCGACAATTACCGACATGGCTAAGTCCATTCGTCAATGACTTCATGGATTTCTGCCATGTTTTGGTTTGGCCGCCCCTAACTTTCTTCCAACCTACTCCTACACTACAAAACAAGGCTCATCGGGGCAGTCGGTGGTTGGGCATACGCAACACATGTCCCAACCACCTAACTGATGAAGTGTCACTACTGCGTCTATTGATCTTCCATTCTTAGCTAGCACCCGATTCCTAATAACAGCGTTGCTCACTCGGTTGTCCCACGGTATACGAGCAATGCTTCGAAGACACCTATGATCGAAAACCAGTAACCTACGAATATCTTCTACTCTCACTGGCCATGTTTCACAACCATAACATAAGACAGAGCGAACTTGCGCAGTACACTCGTCCTTTAGTCAGCAAACGGATATCTCGACTACGCCATAAGTGGTGCACGTTGGCAAAAGTCAATCGAGCCTTCTGTATCCGTGCTGAGATTTCGTCAGTCACCAGGCCATCGGCACTGATGAGACTCCCAAGATAAGTGAAGCGGTCTATACGCTTGACTACTTCACTCCCTATCACTAGTTCAGGTGCCAATGCAGCCCAATCTTGAAGCAAAATTTTGCATTTCGTGGGTGAGAACCGCATCCCGAACATGCTTGCATTGTTGCTTAGGGTAGTCAGAAGACTCTGCATTTTGTCAGCGTCTTCACCAAGTAGGACTATGCATCCGTCAAAAACATCCATTGAAATATTGATTTCACTTACAGTTAATGATCCGGTTAATTACTATTACGTATATAGGCTTTAATAAACAAAATTACTAAAAAAACCCAAGCTATAAATTTCAGTAAACAACTCAATGTTACGTATGAAGTAATGCAAATGCAGTTAAAAGCTAATTATAAACACCAATGTTCATTACGTGTTTTATGAATTTAACTTTTACATCACCAACCGAACTATATAACTCGAAGTGTCTAGTGCAACTAGTCACATTTATTTCTCATATTCACTTGTAAGACAATATGTAGCAAAAGAATACTTCTATTATTCATGATTGTAAAACCTGTAGTACATGTTGTACTGTATACAGAAAAATTTCCTTCAGAATTTAATCTCCATTTCATATTAAACGTGTACTTACTAGTAACAACTGTCTTCGAGATGGATTTCTTAAAGTCTTAGTGTTATGTCGTGCAATGTAATCAACCGAAGAAGAAGAAGAATGCAGACAATAATCAGCTATTAAATATAGGAAATATAGGAATCACTTTCAACCATAGACGACTGATTGAAGTTGAGGATGTAGAATTTTGAATTCTAACTCAGTGGACCACAGTCATCATGCTTGCCGCTACATGAAAGTCTTAGATTTGACCTTACTTTGTAGTCATAGAGTTTTAAATTGGGAGGAAAACAAAACCCTCCAGTGCTCCTTACTTTTCACTGGTTCTGTACCTGATGTTAGTTGGGGATAAAACTTAACTCACTAATTAATATTAATTTCTACGTTGCCACGTCTTTTAGTTCTTGTTCGTATCAACAAATCATTTTAAGTGTTCATGGAGACCAATTCTGACGATACGTTTTTTATTTCAAGAGAAGGAGATGCATTTCAGTTATGATTATATCGTTCCTCAAAGCGCTGACTAGACATTATTATGTTAGTGTCTTCTGTAAGTTGGTAATTGAATCTTTCTGTAGATCAATTCTTAGGAAATCAGACGAAAGAAACGTTGATCTCTAAAACAATATATTTGGCGAGATAAGTTAAAAATTTTTGAGAATATAAACAACCCTGGACAAATACAACATGAGGTTGTCACTTTTAACCTGAGTTCACCATATACTCCTGATTCGACCGATAATGTTCAACTAGGCTTAATTACCTCTTGTTTGCACATATAACAAACTGCTCATTAGTCACTTGATTTTTTTAGTCATTTACTTGATTCTTATTCTCCTTTGCTTTAGGTGTTAGAAGAAGCCATCGAACTAGCAGTTAAGGAGCACGATTTTGAATTCTGCACAAAAATTTGGATAGGTAGGTGATTTCTATTAAATAGAGTTCTTCATTTCTGTTGGTTTCAACTATTCTCCTTTGTGATGAACTATTTACTTACAGAACGATTGTGAAATATATTTTTAAGATGTCACTCAGCAGTCATGCATAGCTTTTTGTAAACTGGATGCTTTTCAGCCACATTTTTCGGTGTAGATGATCTAATAATAGTACTGGGTTGCTCAAATAAAGAGGCAGGTGGAACGAAATTCAAACTTGTGTTACTTAGTGGTAGTTGGAAGTTTTGTGTTTCAACCATCAAAACATTAGTTCATATGTGGTCTGCTGAGATTACTAAATATGCTATATATGTAGATCAAATCTCCTGTTTATTGTCAAAGAATTATGTTTTATACACAAGATAAAACATATTATACTTTTGGTAATACACTGAATTAATACCGAAAGCACCTGTTTATTCAATGAAGGTTCTAATCTGTAGAAGACGAGCAGAGTGTCAATATCAATATGTGCATTAGTCTAACTCAATAATTGGATACCAGATAGTCAGTAGTGTGTTGTTCACATTTGAACGATGTACGCTCAAAATTTAAAAAAAAATTGCAATCGAGCTTTATAGTATTAGATTTCTAGGAAAACGTCAAGTTATTCATCCTTTGTTTACGGATACTAGTTTTTTTTCCTGTAATGATAAGGTCATGTTTTGTCACAATATCTATCCAGAGTTGTTCTATTTCAAATTTGGCTTCATTTAGGAATATAAGGTTATCCCGAAGGTCCCATGTAAATTTTTGATGTTGAAGTGTTATTGTCAGTGGTTGCCTTATGGAGTTCATATTACTAAATTACCGTTGGCACAACAGAACTAAATTCCTTATCTGTAGATATAAATGTCGAACGCAACTAATTTAACACTGTCTACTTAATCTGATATGTAAAACATAATGTGATAAGTGGTGAAAAGAAATCATCGACCTCAAGCAACCAATAACAGTGAAGGCCATCTATTTCTAACTACAATTCAGTTAGGCGTGTATGAATAATACTAGTGAGTATCATTTGAAGTAGTTCTAAGAAGCTTATTTTATAAGATAAATCGTTAACTTCATTTAGTCATACTACTTTTATTAGGGAGCATTGATTCTCATAAGAAATAGACACCTAGAAAGTGATTACTTTCTTGTTAGAGAAGTTAGATCCCCAGCACTCACTTGATAACCGTCCTAATTTTGTGTTTTGGCGCATGGGTTGATCAGTTGACCTTGAGATTACATTTCCCACCCAGGATATCCTTGACTATCATTGGTTAGTGTGTTATTTTAGTAGGCTACTTTTGTGGATTTCTCAAAGATGTTTTCCTCAGTCGGGAAACAATAGCGAGGATCGAGGATCCGGCGACACGACATGCTACTCAAATCCGAACCCCCCCCCCATTGAATAAAAGGAGAAGGCTTGATGTGAAGTAGGACCTGTATTCTACAAGCATCCAGAAAGTACGAGGTCCGAGTTCAGAAGAAATTCAGAATCCCAGACTAGGGATCCGGGTCATAAAACGTTACAGATAATGAGTATTTCTGCATTTAGGTTAAATAGGAAACAGCATCGAAGTCTGTGACATTGATAGTTAAGACGACCAATAAGAAACAACATTGGAGCACGTGACATTGATGTCTAGAACGATCATAAAATTGACCAGTAGGAATTAACCGATAGGAATTGACCAATAATTCTCTTAGGATATTGGATGAATATCCTAATAGGAAATAAACTTTATTTGTGTGCTTGTCAACCTCATATTTTCTGGGTGCTTGTAGAATACAATTTGTACGTTTTGTCAAGACTTCTTCCTCTACTTAGTTGGAGCCATGGGACGCTCGGATTAGAATAGCCTATCATGTCACTGGATCACTTGTCTTCGCTCTTGTTTACCGACTAAGTTGCACTCGCAATAGTTTCAAGCATATCATTTCTATAGTTTGAAATTAATTTCCTTTGTTAAAATATAATTTTTTTCCATGTACTTTTTATTATCTACATAATTTATCTTATTCATTATTATCATCGTAAATAAATTTTTCTTTTCCTCCTGGCACAATATGTTAATGTTCTATTTTGTTTTGTTTTTTAATTCTTTCATCCTAAGAGTCACTGTATATTTCACGAGGTCGAATGGTTCCTCGTTTATACAAAGGCTTACGCAGTGCAGTGTATAAAATTAATTTTCATTACACAGATTTATATATACGTCTTCGAGAAGGTGATCCTCCGAAAATTTATCATCCACGTGATATTAAAGGTGTTTGGACTCCAGCTCCAACCTGTCCACCAGAAGGTAGACCTTGGGGTTCAACACGAGAAATGGTCCATCGTGAACTAGAAAGACTGCGTGAACGACGGTTGAGAAGCGAATTATAGACATGATTTTTTTTAGGAGAAATATGATAAGCTTCTTATCTGTACAAATACAAACTGTTTACACTTATGTAGATATTATCTTATCATGCGTAAATTTTAAATCTTGTCGTGTTATGATGACATAAATTTTCCTTTGTAAAATAATATTTGTAAAGTAAAGTGATTTTTAATTAAGTTTCTATTAAGTTTGGTTAGAATGCTTACAATTCTAAAGTGTTTCATATTCTATATAACTAATAGTCAACTAGTTAGTAAGATGACTCAATATTAAAATTACTTGGTTTCAAGCTCTAACTTGCTCTACCTACATTATGATACTAGGGTAAGTATTACTACTAGTCTATAGTTATTTTTATTCAAGAATATCAAATGTTAAGAAAATTTATGAGACTTATATGTAACTACAAGTAATGAAAGTCAAGAGAAAAGAGAAGCTGTTGATCTATTATTGATAGGGGAGCCGATTATTTGGTAATAGACGTCAGTTCAAACTTAATGTATATGTTGCAAAAGATAGATTTACACTAAATAGAATAGTCTTCTGTTGAGTTATTAAGAAACATCGTAGTGAGATTAGGTATGAAGTAATAATTATTCATGAATAATATGATCAGATGACATAAGGCAGTAATTTTCATCATCGAGACTATACGTCACAATCTCGAAATTTCCGGTCAAGCGATAGGTAATATTTTCGCCAACCATTTTTAATTTATATACTAAACGGACTGTCTCATATCTCATGTATGATACTACAAACTGCAGGCTCAGGTCATGTTCCAACTCAAAAGTTCATCATATTTCTTTTCTGAAAGATAGGTTGGCTTCTTCGGTTTGTAAGCCTTCTTTCAACTCTATAGATACGTCTAGGAAAGAAACCGTTTCGTTCTGCGACGATACAATTCTGTGATAATAAAATACACTCTTTCATAGACAATGATCTGAGTACTGAAAATACATGAAAATTGTAACGCAAATTTAGAGAGTCAGGTGATGTTTATAATCGAAATTACGATCCAGCTGTTTTAGATACCATTAGTTTGCTAAACTTGTGATATTAAGAGAAAATCAGTTAAGAAACGAGGTTATGTTTAAATGGAAGGAATATTGATCTGAAAATCCGTTACCATGAGGTGATCAACGAAATATTAACAGAAGTTTCTGGTTTAGATTTTTAAGTATAGTATATTAATTTGATATGGAAAAATGTCAATAATACGGATATTTAAGCATTTTTGAAAATACGTTGCCTCGAACTGCGTTACTAAATCAACACAATATTGTCCATTTAAATTTATGCTACTTATTTAATTTATAAGTAGGGTAAACGCATTTGGATTAACTCATTAACTAAAAGCGGAAGATTTCATTAATTGATTAAATTACTAAGGCTTTAAAAAATCATAAACTACCGACACCTTCTCCCAGTATAGTACAGTTAAGAAAAAATAAATTCACCTCCAAGTGTCGGTACGTAGTAAATTGTAACCTATTACAAGATAGATTGAACTGGGTGGATAACGTAATCCAATTCCTTATTTCGATGTTGAAATGCATCAAAATCTTAATCAGTGATTATCAACACTCATCAAACAATCAAGTAATTCTGGCTTAAACCACCAAACTCAACAGCTTGTAAAAACCGTCTGAATTTCGATTGATCGGTCTTGATATCGTGTAGACCATGAAGATGTATTGTGAAGTTGAAACAACAGTTTTTCAGTGAGCTCATTTTTTTAAGTTCAAATCAAAATGCGCTGCTTGATTCTGAGATGTATTGTCCACACATCTCAATGGAAAGTACCACTTATCCATAGACGAACTTGAAAAACAAAAGGTGGATACTTGTGAATGAAATATGGCAAATGCTACTACATACGCATTTTTAAACGTATTCCCTCTGATTATTTAAACTGTCTCATTGCATGAGAGTTAATATTAAACGAGTCAATAACGACGCATAATCTGTCGACCACACATCAAAAACTTAGAAACAAGAGTCATAGTTTACCAACACATCATTATTAACACTTTCTTTCATCATAAATGCAGTGTGATATGTACAATAAGGTATGAAACTGAAGGTAGAAAATGCACAAACATATTCATCATATATACAGAAGTATATACATACATACAAAATTGAGTGCTGTCAAGCTGGAGAACACAATGGAATTCGATAATCCACTGAACTATTTATTCAGGCTCTAATAAGTAAGGATGCTCATCCCAGAATTGATCTTTAATAATATCTATGTTCGCTTGTTCAATAGAAGATTGTTTCCCATGCTACAGAAAAAAATTAAAAATAACATTCAACTCTTGTAAACATTTTGAATAAAGAGAATGTGCTATGATGTTATTCAATAAAAAAGAAAGATAACTGAACAGATACTAATTGATGTAGACAAATCAGATAGATGATATGCTCATCACTTGTTATGCTTGAAACTATTACGGGTTCACCTTAGTCGATAAACGAGAATGAGACAATGGGGAAGTGTCCGGGTAGGCTACTCTGATCCGTTGACCCAAAGAAACTAACGAAAACGTCTTAATATAGCGTAGAAAGTGTTTTCTACAAACACCCAGCAAGCAAACAAGTCGCGTTTATTTATACATCATATTAACGTTCTTGGGAGCGTCACAAAAATGACTATCCGAGGGTTGTCCTGGTGGGAAATGTGATCTTAGGTCAACTGATCAGCCCATGAATAAAATTCAAAATTAAGACATTTATCGAGCGAGTTCTGGGGATCTAACGTCCCCAACAGTTCGTTCATCAGAAGGTCTGTCTGACAAACAGTATTCAAGTATAGAAATTTTCAATTAAATTGATATTTTTCTTTCATATGCTATTGAATGATAGACACTGACAATAAAGTGGAGTTTTAAAGGTAGTTGACATGAAAAACCTAGATCTGGGTTTTGTACTATTTGTTACTTGTTACAAAAGCTGAACCTATCATCTGGAAGGAAATTTTTTTTCTCTGGTGGGTCAGATTTCATGCTGTCCATTTTCATTGTCAGACACGTTGTCACTGAACTTTTTGGGCAGTAACTGACTTACAGCAAGAGTGAAATGCATTTACAACTGGTTAATGACTAAATAGTAGTCAATGTCGTGTATGTTAAGCCTTTTTTTTAGTGATCAAATTCTATAGATCCATTTACTGAGAGTAATTTTTAGGGAGCGCTGAGTTAGAAGAAACTAGATATCATTACTAATTGTTGATTCACGCGAACTTCAGTCATTTTGATGCACCAAATTACTTAATCAGTGTTATATTGTAGTGTTACGGACTTCTTCATCTTATTCCTTGTGTTGCTGCTACTGCCAATTGTTATCTAAATTTGTTGTCCGTCTGTTCTCACTGATTGTTGCTTCCAAAGGTCACAAAGATAAGTTTTAGAATATTTTTTTTTGAATTCAGTAGTAATAGAAGTTGCCAAAACTCAATGACCTTTAATAACAATATCAACTTATTCTCATTTAATAAAAGATATTATTTTTTAATACAGATAGAAATTCTACACAGCTACCTTGAGATGAAGAATAACACTTATCATTATGTGATATAGTGATAAGTTGTGGTTTATATATTGTGAAGAAATAAAAATCAGTTGATCACCTCTATAGAAATAATAAAAAAACTATATTTGTATTTCAACTTACATTAGTTCTAAATAAGACGGTACCTTTACGAAATAATTCTGGTTCATTGTTATAATTACAATTGAATTGTGAAAACAATAATTCATTTTTATCACTTGATAAAGTTCCCTATAACAGAAAAAAGATATATATATATATATATATATATATTGCGAAATTGATATTGTTGTTAAACTCATCAGGTGCAAATATTACCTTAGTGTTATAACTGGTTTTCAAAAATATGTTCTTCGTGGTATTACTACAAAGAGATTAAATATATGACTGAGTTTATAATATCACTGAGTCGGATGCTCACTATAAACAGACAATATCAAGTTAGACCAGACACGTAATTCACGGACAAAATAAAGAACTGCAGTAAGAGATGGATAATATTTTATCTCTCATGATAACAGATGGTCACAGTATAAATCAATTGGAAGAAAGGTAAATGTAAGATCCATTTTTGAAGGCTTTCTTTGTGAAAATCCCTCCATGTATACATTTGTAATTTGTCGTCATTGATTCCTACAGTTGTACATTTTGTTAGTCTATTTGATTCTGTTTCAGATGATAATATGTGTATTTTATTATAGTTTCTATTTTTTCTGCATTTACTGAGTTTCTATGTTTCTCTCTGAATTGCATTGATGTTGTTTAAGCTGATACTGAGTCATGGCGACAGCCATACTGATTTGTTCCTCTTTTGATTGGATTGGTTACTTTAACTGTAACTGTGCATTTTGATTGTGAATTGAAGCACCCTTCCAGAATAACAACTCTGTGTTATAAACCGACCAAATATTATCTGTCGAACGAATCTGATCTATCCAGGAGAGATAGAATAACATTTATTTGTTCTTGTTAATTTGAATAATTGGACAATTGTTGGTGGAATAACCGAGTGGTAATATTGTTTAGGTAATGATGTAAATTTATATTTATGATGAATATTAGAACCGTTATTTACCCAAATGACTTTTTAGATTTCAACTGGGCAAGATGCATACACAAACTACTTAGCCAGTTATTCCTTAATCCAAACCTCAGTTTGGATCCTAAAGTAATCACATATTTAATTGTCAATAGTCTGTGACTATCTGTCCTCACTTGATAACCAATTACATCTCCCTTCTACTACCAAACATCATCTAGCGATTTATAAAATCATTCACAGTGTGTGAAACTACAACACACACGCTACATATACATAATTATGCAACTAGGTGAGTGATGTGAGAATTTTTATTTAACGCGACAACCTAAAACTTGTTTTGATACTTATCACAAAAATGTCAAGCAGATATACAATATAACGAAACACTTATTCGATACTTTATAAATTTGATCGATCATATCAGTAACAAGCCGTAATTAAAACTAAATTACAATAGACAAAAAAAGGGAAGGACTACTATGCTGGTTGAATATTTTGCATAATTCTGATCCTCTAATATTGAGAGACTCTACCCTGTGTATAGGGGGTCTTGAGTACACAATCCCCAGGATTTCCAAACTATCCAACAGATATTGGTTTGAATTTCGAAAAAAATTTCATCGATTTATGATTCTTTTTTTTCAGGTAGAGCTTTGGAGGTTTTTGTGTTTTTACACATTTGAAATTATCAATCAATCATTGTTAGATCACCATTAGAAACCTGGAAGCACTGGACAGTGGCAGTTCCGTCCTGATATCGGACTCATCATTAGCAGTGTGCATCCACAAATCCTGCACCTAGCAGGATTCGAACCCGGGGCCTTCGGTATTGTGCACGAACGCCTAACCATAGGACCACTGGGCTGGCATCCAACTGATGTTAATGATTCGTTTGTAAGTGTTACATTCTCTAAGCTAGATAGACATTTCAAGATCTTAATATCGTTTGTAAATACATTTGATTGCATCATATCAATTAATTTCATGAACTACTTTTATTCAATCAACTAAATGATAAATAAGAAAAATCATAATTTTTTTTTAAAAAATAATTAAATAGTTATCAACAAGTTATACTCATAATAAATTAAAAATTTATGTCAACTTGAGTTGTACTAACACACACACACACACACAAAATCTGAGTACATGTTCTAATTGATTATTGATTAAATGAATGAGCAAAACTATAAAAAAAAACTAAAATAATGCTTTATGTGATTAAGATTAATTTTTCTACAAAAAAAACAAAACATTTACAAGTCTACGTACGAATGAGCTTATATCTGCAATTCATGTCAGTTAGTGTAGTGAGTTGTAATACACACACATTATATAGAATAGCCACCATTAAAAAAATCAATAAACAACTTGATTAAATTTACATATATATATATATATATATATATATATATATATATATATATATATATACATAGTGGAAGAATTTTTTTTTAAGTGATTTGTATTAATTTGTGATTGATGATTAGTTGGTGGTTTTTTTTAACAGTCTATGCAGATTAACAAACTAATGTAAATTACAATACATGTAGTTAGTTAGTTAGCCTTTATTATCTTGGAAAAAGTAATAAGAATAATAATAACAGGTTATAAGAGTAGTTGATAAGAACCGAAATGAAATGGGATGAATTTATGTTATTCTGATAAAATCTATGTATTTGTCAGTCAGTTACAATGTAGAACTTTGTACGTGTAAGTACATCGGTTCAGGTTGTCATACCACATTAGAACAGAGACGCAGTTGTCAGTCCCATAGTGGTGGAGACATAAGAAGAATTAGTGGTAATAGAGAATATTAGGGATCGCAGATATTATCCAAGAAGTATACTTCAGTGAGATAACTTTAGAAAGAGAAAGATGAGGGATTTAAAAGTTTAAAATTTGAGCGAACACAAAGAGTGGATGCACTTGCGCCGTTGCAAACGATTTTGAGTCATGTCATTCAAGGTGTCTAACCATTGATGACTTTCGTCTCGTGGACCCCAACCGAGTAGTCTACACCTACCAACGTGACTCAGTGCACTTGTCAATGACTTCATGGATTTCTGCCATGTTTTGGTCTGGCCGCCCCTAGCTTTCTTCCAACTTCCTGCGACACCACAAAACATAGTTCGTCGAGGCAGACGGTGGTTAGGTATACGTAACACATGTCCCAACCACCTCAACTGATGGAGTTTCACTACTTTATCAATTGATCTGCCATCCTTACCTAGTACTCGTTTCCTAATGGCAGCATTGTTTATCCGGTTGTCCCAGGATACACGAGCAATGCTTTGGAGACGCCTATGATAGAAAACCAGTAACGCATGAACATTCTCTATTCTTATCGGCCACGTTTCACATCCATATAGTAAGACAGAGCAAACTGCTGTGCAGTACACTCCTCCTTCAGTTAGCAAACGGATATCTCGCCTACATCATAAATGATGAAGGTTGGCAAAATTCAAAAATCTTTGTTTTTACTCTCTTCAAACTGTAAATTAAACTGAAGTAGAAAGAATGAAGCTCAAAACCAAAATAAACTATATAATTCTATGATAAAGTTGATAGATTTCTATTGTTTTTAGGTCACAAGGTTTAAGCACCACTTCACATCTACTTCAATAATCTTCACACTCAGAGTGTAGTTCTAAGTAAAATACACAACTACGTACATTGGCAAATAAGTAAGGAAAACGTTCGGCTAGGTCAAAAAAACATGATAATCAAAACAGTATTCAGGGTTATTGTAAGATTTAATTTGTCATACAGATGTAATTCTACAACGGTAAACGCAATATTAGCGAGCACACAGTCTATGGGAAAGCTTAATTAGAATAAGATCAACTTTTGCTTTAAACTTGATCTGTTTCGACCAATATAACGTGTCTTATGGAAATGAATAAAGTTATGAGTCACATCAATATAATAAGATAACAATGTCCTTCAATTATTAGGTCATTTACAACAAAGAAAGTTTACAGACACGTCAGATAAGATCACGTGATGGGCGCTTAAACCACAATTTGATTGATTAGTTATGACATAACTACAATTAGCTATGGAAATAGCTAACAGTTATAACTAAATGATTCTATTCACTCATAATTATCTAGTTAATACACCCATTATGCGTTATCTCACTGACCCAAAACTAGCGAATTTACTCGCTTTCATATAGACTGTAATGAGATTTATTTATTCCATGAATTCATGTCATCTACTGAATTATTGACATTACTTATCTGTATCGTTGAATACAAGATATTTGAATAGATTATGGGTTATTATCTGAGTAAAGCATGCTTCAATTATGTTAGTAAATGCATTTTCCACTGACATTCAACTCTCCTTCATTTTACCAATAAAAAAAAGACAATATATTTATTTTGCTGGTTCTATTAGATAAAATCAAATCTGAAGTAATGCATCACTAAACTAATAGGATCATTTTTAATCCTCAAATGTATTGATTATCATGAAAAAGCTTTATGTTGTCTCATTAAGCTAGGAAAAGTATGTGAGATAAGGAACGACATAAATGGTCCAAGAAAAAAGTTTGACGAATTTATTTATTTGATAAAAAATAGATGAAAAGTAATGATCAAAACTATACAACATAGGCCTTTTCATGTCAACTAACTTGAGTAACAAACATTTCTCAATTAAGTTGCAAAATATACGAATTCTGTTTTACTATAAACTTGTTTACATAAAAAACAAACACAATCGAAGCTGAGCTGATTGTTTCATGAAACTATTTCTTGGAAATTTCAAATAGTGAAGTAGATGGCATTGTTATTTTTGACTGTTGAAATTGAAATGAGATCACTCTTAATCCAAATATATGTTTGAATGAGTTAAACATATTGCAAATAATATGGCCTATACATATGTCATATCTTACAGTGAATAAAACCTAAACTCTCTACTTATTTAAAACCAAAACATCCAGCTCAGAGAACTAAACACTACCACAATCATTCACCTGAGCTACAGATTTTCTCCATATGAGTGTGACACGCTTCTTGTTGTTCGAAATGGGGAAATTTCTGCAAAAGGAAGGCTTCCACTTGAGAACAACACTCAACAACATTGAGAACGACGATCAAAATGTCAAGTAGACAACACAGAGAACAAAGAAAAAACATCCTCAAAGATAAACTAGTCAAGATTTCAAAGCCAATCA